ATAGATAGATAGATAGATAGATAGATAGATAGATAGATAGACAGAGGGATGGATGGACAGGTGGATGCAGATCACCCCAACAATTCTGCATTTCAGGGAAAATACTTCATAGGAATTGGAATAATCTTTTTCAGACACCTAAAAAAGACATTACATCTCACTATTGATTTAGTTAAGCTCAGTAAAGCTATGTATGCTTGAGAAAAAGTAGTACATTTGTTGTGTGTTGAAATTATATTCTTAAAATACTTTTTTGAGGTAAATGTGACTGTGAGGACACCGTCAGTTGATGTTTCTACCCATGCATCTGATAAGAAACAACAAACTAGAATTTGGTGTTGCTTGCTGACCAACAGTGTCTCAAAGCTATGGCAAATTGTTTTCTGTTAGGATCTTATCCTTCAGGGATATGTGAAGAAAACTTTCAAGCCTCCCACAAGTAAACAAAAAGCATTTGGTGTCACAAAGCAACAAAGAGAAGCCAAGTACACTTTTAAAAAACTATCTGCATCCTCTATCTTCTTGCTATCTTTTTATCAGTCATGGTTGAAGTGATTATTTAGCACTGATAGCTGGTAGAAAATGATAAGGGCAGAAAACCTAGGACTGGAAAATCAAACAGGTATTTGAAGATGGGCAACAAGCAGGAAAAAGATAATATATCAAGAAAGAAAATATGAGCCAGACTATTTTTTGCAACATCTCTTTTACGAAGTAATTCAGTGACAGCAGAATAAATACAAATGACCATACTATGCATATATAATCCTGATTCCAAAGAAGCTGTTGCACTATATGAATTGCAAACAAAAACGAGATTTTGTCAACTACTCTATTCACAATAAAACAGGAAATATGTCAAATGTCATATGACATGCTATGTTATACCACTAAAGCCATTTTCCTATTTAATGAAACATAGTAGCTGTGAAAAGTAAAACAAACAATATAAATCAGCGCATGACCACAGGAACATTTCCAAAAATCACAGTCTGTCAGCATGGTTCACTGGTCCGTGAGTGTAGCTTCTCTGTCAGACTGAGAAAAGAAAAGAAGCCACATTTGAACACGAACCAGACCCTCCTGTCTTTTGTGCACTAAAGATAGAAAAAATTGCAAATCTTTTTTGTCAACCAAGGATACAACATTCTCTTGGCTAAAAACAAAAGCGAGTACTAAGCACTGGATCTGTGACAAAAGGGATACATGATTTCCTATGGAACCTTTGGAAAATCACTATCATTTGGTACATTTGGAGCAACATTTTTCCCCCATTCGTCTTCTTCATTTATGGTGCTTGTGTATACAGAAAGAGAAACCATCTACCTCTCCTGCTGCAATCTCAGCTAACAGAGAGGCTTCTAAAAAGACAAAACAAAAACAAAAACGTAGACAGCCGCCCAGTAGCTTAAGTGACCTTTTGGTATCAAGTGTTCTGTAAACGGGTGCACTGCAAGAAAATAATTTCCTGCAAGGGATAACTAAAGTAATTCTGATTCTGATTATATTTATTTGTAGCCAGCAGAAAACTAACATACTTTTATAGAAGATTTGGGAGAACACACAAAACATTTGGTAGAACACACAAACCTGCCATCCTCTCTCATAGAGCAGAGACATGACTTGTGTAAATCCTCCACACTTCATATTGGTACTTCATGTTCATTCCTGTTGGTAAACCATGCACTATACAGTATTATTATATGTATATGTCTGTCTGCCTACAACTAACAGATCCTAAAGATCATGACAGTGCTTGGGACTTTATTTCTTTCTTTTAAAATCCTGAGTCAGAGATATCTCAGCTACAGAGTTTAATAGACAACAACAGACAACATACATAAATAGGGCTTAATAATTTGCTTACTTTTAACTGTCTGTCCCTGTTTTATAGCTATATATGTTATACATATTTAGCTATTAATGTACTCTGGACTTTATTCCAGATTATAGCAGTTAACTCCTAAATGGAGAGATAAAATATCAACAGTAAAGCTGGGTAAAGGTTCAGCAATCTGTAAAAGCTTGTCCACATATCTACAAAATACAACAATATCTAGGGCAATTTGAAGTTAACATCCCTCAATATAATATCTCAAAAGAAAAGAGTTATTACACATTTGTAAACATCAACTGGTCCCTGATTGTATATAATATGAATAGCAAGACTTCTTTAACGTGACTTCTGTCAATATTTTATTCTAAAGATGTCCCGGTACATAGGCTTTATGATGGGATGCGTTGACCGCCAGAGGCCGCCATTGCGCCCCTCTCCGTCCACGCCTATTTACCGTTGGCAGCGCAGTCACGTGACACACATGTCAGGGGACAGCATGGCGGACATGCATGTGGAGCCTCAAAACAAATTGCATAGATTGTCCAGCTAACCCCACCGTGAAAAAGACTGTAACCGCGCCGGTGGTTGCCCGACAAAAACAGAAGAATGGACGAAGAAAACAAGCTTAAGTTTCCGTCTCTTCCGGCGACCAAGGAGGAGCTTCTGGTGAGGGCTGTGCTGCCTGCCGACATGTCCACTGTGTCTGACCAGCTAAGCTGAGCTAACCTCCCCTTGCAGCCGTATTGTCTGCCACCGAATGTACGCTCCCTGCGGGGCTCTCCATGTGAAATTACGTGGGCACAGCACCTTTTTAAATTATACGTGAAGCATTTCACGCCTTTTAACGAGCCGTAATTCGCGTTGCATTGCCGAGCAACCACCTAGCGTTAGCCACGTATGCACACAAAGTGCTCACAAAGTCTCCTGAGACGTAGTCTCTAACCTCGTTTAAATTCTCTTTTTCTAGGATTGGGCTTACCCAATGAGACGAGAAATGCAGGTATGTAAGGGTCTGTTTTCTGTGGAAGAAAGTATAATTGTATGAGCCCATGCCCATAATTGTGCCTCACTGCATGACAAAGCTTAAGCTGATATTACAGTTTTCTATGTATTTGTTTCGCCCTGCAAATTTTGAAATAATATTGTTAAACAGACCTTTTATTCCAAACGGAAGAGCATCCTATTATCAAGTGTTTTAAGACCTCATACTTGAGGCAAATAATCGCTGTGTGAGACAGAGGAGGCTAAAACGGAAAGGCTCTGATGATGGAATGCTGTCTGGGCTGTTAATGCTGTTTTTGCTGCTGTATCTTTGTCTTCAGGAAATATTACCAGGACTGTTCTTAGGTCCCTACTCTGCTGCAATGAAAAGCAAGGTACTTTTTAAAAGGTCCTTGATAATAGAGGCACACCCTCTCAAATCTCAAATCCAAAGTGTCCCTTTAACATTCAGGCCTCCTTCTTCTTCTCTCAACCTTCAGCTGCCAATTCTTGAGAGACACGGCATAACGCATATCGTCTGCGTCCGCCAAGACATCGAGGCCAATTTTATCAAACCCAACTTTCCTCATACATTTAGGTAAGCGCTCACACACGTGATCTGGTTTTGTTCTCATATTTGAAAGCTGTCAGTCTGATTTGGGGATCTTCTTTCTTGCAGATATCTTGTTTTAGACATGGCTGACAATCCAGTGGAAAACATAATCCGCTTTTTTCCTAGGGTGAGTTGGAAATTTCAATGCGTTTTCTTTCTTGATGAGCTTTGTGTTGACATGCATTTCTCCGTCATTAAACTTGAAACGTTATATTTCACCACAGACTAAAGAATTTATTGATGGCTGCTTAGCAACAGAAGGTAAGGATGTTTGTAAGTTTGTCTCTAATACAATTTTATTACTATTACTGATGCCAATGCTAAGTACCTAGTCAACATTTTGTTGTCTGCCTGCTTTAGGAAAGGTACTTGTTCATGGGAATGCAGGGATATCGAGAAGGTGAGCCATGTCGTTTTGTTGATATTCCATCAGATCTAGTAGTTCTTAAAGACTTAAGATTCCACCTGATGATCTCTAACTTCTCACTTCCTTATCGGTTCCCATGACCATGAGGGAAAAGCTAAGACTTGTAGACAGCCTAAACACCACTACATGCATCTGTTTCCTCCATTACCTAAAACCTGAGTAACCTTGGTTGCCTGTTGTCTGTTTTGTTCTTTCAGTGCTGCCTTAGTGATTGCATATCTTATGGAAACATTTGGGATGAAATACAGGTGAATGATTCAAAGCACAACAAGTTCAATGATCCATGTCTTTTTAAGTCCTACCATGCTGCCACAGACGGCTTGTGTGTAACACATATGCATCACAAAACAAAAGCTCTCTCTGCCTGTATGTAGGGATGCATTCAGCCATGTCCAGGAGAGGAGGTTTTGCATCAACCCCAACGTTGGCTTTGTTCACCAACTGCAGGTAAGATATGGCTAAGATAAAACGCTGCTTACAGTTACTATAGACTGAACTGTGACCACTAAATCCATGTGTGAAAGTTAAAGTGTGTTTTCCATGCGCTTTTTAAATTGGACGTACTCCGGAGAGTCAGATTAGCCAGCTTAACTGTCAGCATCACATTTACTCATCAGACATTTTCTCTGAAAGACATTTATCTTGGAGCTGGTTACGTTAGAAAACCCAAATCACTGTTAAAAGCAGGCCCATTATGTAGTGTCACGTGCTGACATTTTGAGCACTTGCTGTACTTAATATCAAATGAAGGATTTAAGTATCAGGTTCAGTTATAGAAGGATACATCCTTCTCCATGTCCTCTGCTCTTTGGGGTGACTTTTGTCAGGTCATTTTTGTTTATAGTCTCACATGCAGGCTTTTGGTTGTGTCAGCATTGCAAGTAATCTACTGCAGAAAATTATTATTGTAGAATGATGGAGTAAAACTAAAAGCTCAGCCCCTCACAAGCCAGTGACCCTAATGATCAGACTGATATTATTCTGTGGTCCATACAGGTCCATAGAGAGTGGTTTGATGTGGTTATTTATTTTCCCAGGAATATGAAGCAATTTATCTTGCCAAATTGACCATTAAAATGATGTCACCAATGCAGTTGGGTCGGTCGTTCTCTCTACAAGCTGGAATGTCAGGTTTGTATAATATTTTGATGTGCCAATAGATGCAAGTCAATTCTCAATTGCATGTATGTATGTATGTATGTTTATATGTATGTATACATTTGTATGTGTATGACTGTGTATATGTATCCATATGTACATATATGTATAAAAAGTCTTTCTTTAAACCTTGATGTTTTTTAATTGGCAGGAAGCCGTAAACGCAGTTTGGAGGAAGATGAAGACTTTGGAGCAATGCAGGTCACAGCCGCACAGAATGGATGAACTTTGCCGATTAATCTGTTTGGCAAAGTGCACTCTCTTTTTACATTTTTAATGGGATTAAAAATGTAAATATTTGAACTTTTTCTAATGGGGAGGACCGGAGCGGGAGGGCTACCACTCATGTCTGAGACATGAAGTACTGATGGACATTGGGCAAATTTGATAACTTTTTTGTTTTGTTTGGTTTTCCTTGAGCTGTATGCACTGATGGAAGATTTTTTGCCGTTTTATAGTATTTAAAGCATTTTGCTATTGCAGCGGGACAGTATTGCAATAATGCACTTTCAATACTTGAATTAGTGTACATGACCAGAGTGGGCACGTTGGCAAAAGGGAACGTAGCCAGAACATCACCATGTGGAGATATCAGAAGAGGAACAGTCTTCATTTTGGGAGTAACGAGATCACAAACTAATATTGAGCTTAATGTTGGGCATCGAGGAATGGAAAAATAACAACTCTGCTTAATAAAAATAAGTCCTAAGTACCGTTTAGTTGTCTTTATCATTTATTTAGCTTTAATTTTTTTAAATGTCATTCCAGTACTTTTTGTTTTTGTTTTTTCACACAACCATTTGCAGAAAAATTCTATATTGCCGTCACCTGTAATTTGGATGATTTTTGCATATGTGCGATCTTGTGTCTGTACTTACTTTGAAGCCATAATTCACCAGTGAGAAGTCACTGTGTCATGTGATGTCAGAATACATACACCTGTTCTGTAACTACTTAGTTACACAAAAACACCCATTTATAGACACATTTTCACTAATTAAATACTGTACCTCTTAGAAGATTTTTATTACCATTTGGAAATAAGTTACATTAAATATATTTCCTTTCTCTCCACAAAAAATATTTTTCATAAAACAAAACTAAAAAGGTATAAATAAAAAAAGAAATTACAAAAGCTTGTATCCATTTCCCATTGAAAACATTTCTAACTCCAGTAGTTAACAAACTAGAAAAATGTAAAAGCCATTTGAAATCTAACCACTACCTTTAAAAATGATTTTTTTTTCTTAACTGAAAGTGTTCCAACAGCCTTTCAGTATAATACCTCCTGTCTGGTGGCACTCAAAATGTTCAAGTTATCCAGCAACATAAACAAGGAGGCTTGTTGACAAAGAGAGCACATTTTAGTGAACAGACAGATCAAAGGAGAGAAACCCAAATCTGAAATCACTTTTCAAAAGCCTTTAAGGAAAAAACAGTTCCTTTCTTTTCTGACAGAAACCTGTCAGATAAGCAGAAATTGTAGAAGCACATTTGGTTTATAATATTAAACTCCAAAAGCTGTTGCCCGCACTTTATTTTCTATCATGAATTAGAGTATATAAATAGGTGTTGCATTCCTCTCATTTACTTACAGTAGTGTCAACACATTCTGACTATTTTCTGTTAGCACACAGCAGTTACTCGTGTGCAAAGTAAAAAAAATAAGACATCACATTTACAGTAACCGGTGTTTCTGCCTTAAGATGAATGGTTTTGATGGGAAGATGATAGCAGAAGTCCACCCTGGTGAGGCAGCCATGGTTACCAAAGGGTGGATTCTTATGTGTAAATTAGCATTTCTGTACAAATATGTTTACTCAAATGTTACAAAATGAGGATGAGTGTTCAGGGAAGATTGAGCTCTGTCACAGCAGCAAACACATCTTCAGATGCTCCTTCTTAAGTGCTGATGTCAGATAACAGATCAATGGTCCATTCCCCCAAAAAATATGGGGTTAAAAGCTGCAACTGTCAGTCGAAGAACCGGTGCTGCATGTAAGTCTCGTCTGAGGCACTGTAGCCAAACTTTTGGTAGAAAGCCACATTTTTGGGTGCACACTCCAGAGTGATTTTATAGCAGTTCAGTTTTCTGCTGAGAAGAGTGAGAGTTGAAACTAATCTATTGGGAGAAAAAAGAGGGAAAGGGGGAGAGCTTACAATAGGAGCAAGGAGAAGTCACAAAAAGAAGTCCCTCTGGAGTAATTTGAATATCTTTTAAGATTTACTAAACATTTGCCAGACAAAACCTAAAGCCAGGCTGACACACAGGACTACTCACAGTTTCCCCAGCTGCCTCCCTCTGCACACATCGCTGACAACTACCTCCTCCACCCGGCCTCTCTGCAAACAAGATTAAACCGCAGGTGCACTTTCAGCTCCAGTCCAAATTTCTGTAAACTACTTCCCAAGGTCCTTAGCAAAATATGTATCGCATAACCTTCATTTATTGCAACAGACTGGGTTATTAATTATTACCATTCCAATAATCATAATGGTAATGAGTGATTTATTAAAATGATTGGTTTTATGATGAGACGTGAAGAGATATTGGCTGCACCCACTGTTGAATAACCTTCTCATTGAGCGTCACACACCTTAGCACAGGAGTGGATGAATTTGTGTTCGGTGATCAGCGTGGCAGTGGCAACAATCTGTCCCAGATTTGTGTCCTCCACAACCACAACATAGTAGTCGCCTGTAGTTTTCATGTGCTCAAACTTCTCTGAAGTAAACAAAAACATGTTTTAAAAAAGGTCATACTACATTTTACTAGGTTGTTTTCTGCTTGAAGTAGCCTTTTTTCTATGAATAGGAGGGTTTTTAACCCTCTGCTAAAATGTGTGGCACTTTGTGGAATTAGTGTCATGTTTGGTTTACTTGCAAACTGTTCTGGAGTGACATCCCCCGTCTGGGTGAGTTGGGATAAAACGTTGAAGAATCCTAAAATCATAACCAACAGAAATGATTTGGGTTTTTTGTACTATGAATGTACATTTTGAATTGTACATTCGGGCCAGGAATATGTCGGCTTACCTCTATTGAAATCTGCCATGCACAGCGGTCTGAGCACCAGACCATCTCCAGGACTGGACGGTGAGATGGGGGGGGAGAAAGAAGCGCTGTTGCTACTCCAGTCTAACTCCTGGAGCAGAGAAGGCTCAAAAAGCGGAGTCTCGTCCAGCAGCATTCCACAATCTCTGACTAAGAAACCCAGACAGAAAGGTCAGTTAATGTGCACCCAAAAAGTAACGTTTGTGTGGAAAAAGCTCAACTTGGTGTCCTTTATATGTAAGACACACAGGGTACATTTGTTACCAAAAAAATCAGTCTGGACTAAAAACCTGTTTGCTCAGTGTCATAAAGAACTTTGACCTGACAAATAAAACTACACCCATTGAAAGGATGTAGATAGGTTATAGTGCTCTGAAAGTTGGCAAACCAGCTGGTAGACATTGTACATGGTCCCGCCCACACCAACACAATTATACACGTCCTCTTTTTGCCACCTTTCAGCTTTCATCCGTGACTATTTTCTTCCAGGGCAGAGCCCTGAGTCAGAACAGGATGTGATCAAACAGAAAGGTCCATCCAGCACACAATCCTACCGGCCAGCGAGCTGAATGCTATTGGTGCTGTTCACCGTCACTTCCACGCGTCTTCATTTCAGTTTCCATGGTAGCAATACACGATTCCACAATTCACTTCCTCATCAGCGAGACAAAATAAGATTATGAGTGTACCCAATAGTTTTATGACCGTCAAAACGGAACATGTTTCACCGGAGAAGCGCAGATTTAATCGATCTGTTCGCGTTTAAACGAATCAGATCGAATCGTTCACAGAGTTCTGTCCACCTAACATGTGGCAGGGACAGGCTGATGTAAAAAACTTAAATATATGTACGAAACTACGTTCGCAGTAAAAAATAACAATTAAAAGAACTCAACCAGCCAAACTCGTCTAATGCTACAGCCTCAACCACTGACGGTGTACTAAATGATAATATAACGTAAGTACAGTTTGTGTAATAATGTCATATTCTCCAAGTGGTTAACAATTTAGTCGTTACTTACCAGCAAAATTTCGGCACAAGAGACGCGCCAGCTGAATTCCCAGGCTGGGAGAACGACAGTTCTGAGTTTTGAATGGGGTTGACTTACATCATTCCGGTGAAGACCGTGGGTGTTTTCAGATGCTACTTCCGTTTAACAAGAACACCTTTGTATGACGTGGCAGTCGAGATGCTCAAATTACTGGCGCATCCTAATGACGTCAGGAAAACTTCCTTTTGCTTTGTTGCTTCAACTGGTGGCTCTTGCGAGTCTTGAACAATTTCATCCAACAATTTTTTTTTTACAGTACACTTTGATATTATTTAAACAAGAATTTCTGACAAATTATAAATTGAGACGTATTGAGTTTACAAGAGGGCTCCAGAGGAATAGTAGTCAAGGAATAAAATACTCCTATGCAAAACAAAAAACACTGTTTTGTTAAAAAGCTGTAGAAGCTCTGTTTATTTAGTTTTTCATATTAACATATTTTACAAAAACTAGATTTACAGAAATTATCCTTAACTGAACCATCCTTGATTTAGGCACAAAATACAGGAAAGCTTAGTCCATAAAAAGGTTTGATTTAATAAGTAATTGTTGTGAAAGGTAACCCAAGAATAGCAAAAAATATAATGATCTTTTTTAAAGTTGCTAAGGAAATTAGTAAACTGAAATTCAAACCAAAGCTGTCAAGTTATTTAAAAAAAAAAACATTTTTGTGAAATCAACTTTTAAAAACCTAAATCCTATATAGTCTGACAGCAACGCCCATACAGAGTTTGTGTTAGAAAAAAAAAAAAGCATAGGAGATCACAAGTTTGTGGGCTGCTCTTTGGGATTGAATTCAAGAAAACAAAAACTGTCTTTTGTGCTGTAACAACAGAAATTAAATTACTTTAATGCGGCTTGCTCCAGCACCCATTGATATGTCTCAGCCAGTTAGAGATTCAGCTAAATCTGACCCCTACCCCCCCACCAAAAAAATTAAAATAAAAAACGGTCATGTTGTTCTGTGGTGTTTGTTGCCAAGATAATGTCGTTGAGCAGTGGATCTTGATGTGTTCTGTTGCTGTTAAAATTTTCCAACATGGGCAGAAAAATGTGGCGCAGATTAAACACCCTAAAACTTCTTCAAGAGATTCTCAGTCCTTCTGGTTAAAGACTAGGAAGAATTACTAAATCAAAGCCAAGCAGATTTGCTGCAAGGCTTTTTTTTATGTATAAAGAGGATTCATCATTTCCAGAGGAAAATCTGGAGCTTCAACCACCCAAACTGACGAAGACTCTTGAAGTGGCAAAACACCCAAAAGATACACACAGCAAAGTCCAGTTGCTGCAGACTTAAATAACTATTCCACATACCTTGTTACGACTAAGACCCTCCACATTCAACAGAAGAAAATAAAAAGATTTTCACTACTCATCAGCAGAGTGTCAATTTTTAAGGTGATTTTAACATTAACACAATGTAATCAATCCTTATTTGTTATATATCCATCTGAGGATACAAGAATTGAGAGACAAAAAAGATTTACAGAACAACGTCCCCCTGCTGTTAAATAACACAATGCAAACTGCTTGCAGTGGATGATATCACACACTAAATACAGAACAGCCCATGCGGGTCAAAAACACTTTGTTTGCAGCATCATTTTTGATTGAAACATTCATTGTAGATAGAAAGGCTCACCAATACTAAAGTGAATTTCTCTTACTCCCAGTAAGAGCTGAAAACATGTTGCTACTTAATTCACAGTTGAAACTCATGACGCAGACATCAGACGAGCTTCTTCATCTGGATAAATTAGCTTTTATGCCATGAGCAAATCGACTGACAAAAAAAAAAATCTAATAGAAAGGAATCGAGGACTCAGGTAGTAGCTTAAGTCTTTCCTTCTCATGATGTTCCTGTCTTGCAATATTTTCTTGTAATGCTTCTGCAAAGCATGCTCATTTGTGACAGCAAGTTCAAATCATGACAAATACTGTCTGCAGAAGCTGGGAGCTGTGGTGTGAGACACTGAGAGGAGGACAATGTGACCTTGCCTGTCTACTGTAACCATGAATTTAAGTAAAGCTCCTAATACTCAGAGTGGAATCAGTGATGTTGTGGCCACTTTAATAGTCTCACCTTTCTTTAGACAGCCCAAAATAGTTCACAGGCCATGTTTGCTATGCTTTTTAATTCATGTTGTGATTAGGTGACGACCATTAACTATATCAAATGGGGGAAGGTTGAGGTAGCTCGGTCACTGCCTCTTGGGATGATGACACATATACTCTCCTGCTGAAGCCAAACTGTGAATTCAGGGGGCAGGATCTTGTGGGTTTTGAATGCGTCTTTCTGCAGCTGCTGCCATGGTTCTACGTCTCAGAGTAGTTGAGTCCAATTCATGGACAGAGTCGTCCTCCAGTGTGGGCAAATCCTCTTCCTGATCCTCCGGACTTTTGTGCAGAAATCTCCTAAAGGTAAAGACATAGCAAGGAAGGATTAAAAATAAGGTAACAAGAAAATCTTTAGAAAACACATACAGTATTGCAAACACTGAATTGAAAACCTATTTAATATTTATATTAGTCTTTTACAGCCATTTCGAGGATTAATCAAACCCCTTTAATCATTTTAGAATACTGCCTTAGATTGCAGATTGAAATAATAATTCATCTTCACAAGCTAAATTATATTACATATTATCATAACTAAGCCTTGGTTGTACAAATGACCAAAGAAAAAAGCCTTTAAAAAGAAAAACAGACTCATTTAATTGAACCTCTCTGAATGCTTTTGCCCTGTAACGTAGCATTTATCTTAAAATGTTTATCAGGTCAGGTGAAAAGAGTCATTTGAAGATGTCTGACCTGCGTGCCTGCTGGAGCATCTCCTCCTTCCTCTGCTTCAGCATCTTCTGCCTCTCTTCGGCTGACTTGGAGAAGCGACTGCCTTTGACCTCCATGTTACCCGACTCAGTGGGATCCTGGTCGGCTGTTCCACTGGGACCTGCCTGCTCATCCGGCGCTGGACTGATCTGCATAGGGGCACGCTCTATGGCCTGAGGAAAGAGCACAAACATGCTTGTTACACTCTCCTTGATGGGAAACTATATGAAGTCAACTCATGCAGATGTCAGAGAAGTAAGCCAACGGCGGACACTTGACCCCTGCCCAGCTGACCAACCTGAGTAGGGAAGGGCACCTGGATGCGGCCCTCCAGAATGTTGTCTGTGGTGAGCTCCACAGAGCGGGTCAGCTGCAGGTCCTGCATCACCAGGTAGGAGGGCACCTGAGGGAACATCTCCTGGATCTGATGGGCCTGTTGATGAGGTTACATTAAACGAATCTCAGAGGTGATTTAGAAAAACAGAACTGGACAGACAAGTGAATGTGCACAAAAGATTCTTATTCTCTCAAACTAATCTGATAAAATGTTCTCTAATTTGAATGTTATTGTCTTGTAACATACAGGCTCTTTAAGGAAGACAGAAAACCACTACACTCAAGTCAGCTACGGTAAAAAAAAAAAAGCAGACACAATGGAAATCCATTCAGCCACAGAGTTCCAGTAAAGCTAAAGGCGGACAAGGATCGGTCAGTGGTGCCTCTAAGTAGTTGCAAGAAGACACAGCAAGCATTGTAAACAAGAAACAAATCCTAATAATTCATCAAATGCATTTTGATTAAATCTGTATTAGAAGACATTCCATCAGGATATTTGATGTTTACAAGAATGAGAAAACAAGAATTCTATAAGAAAGTGAACGTGCACACACCATAGCCATTAGCTGGGAGTTGTTTGCTTGAGCGATGCCCAAAATATTAGTGGTATGCATTACTTCCACAGAGAAACTGGGCAGCCAGCTGGCAATGCGAGACCCTGAAAAAAGAACAAGCAAATGTTTCCACACTGTCCATCAGCAAGATTTCACTTCACAAATCAGTCTCGGATCTGTGGGTAGCAGCTTACCATCAAAGTGAAAGAAGTGGTTGTGCTGGTTGATGTGTGGCCTAGCATCTGGAACAGCTCCAACTGGACCGATGTTGTCTTCCAAACCACCACCCTGCTGCTGGCTTCTCACCTGAGCCCCATCCCCGTTAATGTTCAGGGATTTCCGACATGTGGGGCACGACGTGTCCTGCTCAAGCCACGAGCGCAAGCACGAGCTGGAAAATCACACGTTCACACAATGAACCAACACTCATCTTTTCAATCACACCTCTGAACGTTTTCAGAGTATCTAACTGAAACCGAGTGTTCATTCATCAACACATTCACCCAAAAAAATATCTAAGAAGCTGTGCTACAAAAGATGTTTGGGTTTAAACAAATATTTATGAATACCAATATACAGATTCTGGAGTCACAATTCAATGAGACCATGATTCCTGTGCAGACACCAGAACACATTAAAGAAACGGCTTGTTTACTTGTGAAAAAGATGACCACAGGGGAGTTTGCGTGCTGTCAGCATGGCATCCCAGCAGATGGCACAGTCATCGTCATTGGCAGCCAGCTCCTCTGCAGTGGCAACGGCAAATCTACACAAAGGTCACGGTATAGAACAATGTCAATGCAATGAGTGAAGTTACATGAGGCATAAATTCTGAGTTAAGAGAAACATATGAAAGCATGACCACACACTTCAGTCAATCACAACCCGTTCTCACCTGGCTTCCATGTTGTTGATGACGCGCAGGTAGTTCTTGTGCCGGCGGACGCGGCGCTGGACCTCGTGGAATAGATATCGGAGCTGCATGAAGATAACCAAGCTCGCCATGGACAGCCAGATGTTACCGAAAAGCTAACGAGAGAGATATACACGGGGAGTAAAGAGTTACTGGGGGAGACGGAGACACAGGAACAGACTGAAGGACCAGAATCCTCCTTAGAGTCTGCATCTTACCAGCATATGGATATGGTGCATGAGGTCAAGAAATAGCATAGACAGCTCCATTATGAAGTCTGTGTAGTAGACATATGTGCCCTTGCTCTCCCACGTTCCTGGATGGTTCAAATCCCACAGATGGATGGAGTACCTAATTGAAGGGAGACACACACACACACACAACTCCTTCAGTCATGAAAGTGTGTGGTGACTGGACACTAGTGTGGACATGAATGCTTCTGTCAGACACTAGCAGTGTACTTACTCTAGATGGCATTTACTCGGCTCCTACGACAACAGTGAAGGACCTCTGTGTTATTTTTGACCAGGATCCATCCACTGACTCATATATGAAACAGGTTTTTATGGCTGCCTTCTCTCATCTTTGTTATATCTCCACAACTACGAACATCTCATTTCAGAATGAAGCAGAAAAAAAAGTGTGTTCTTTCGTTATTTAAAATTTGGACTCCTGTGATTATTGGAATATCCCAAAAATGCTGTAAAAAGACTCCAGCGGTTCCAAAATGCTGCAGCCAGAAATATTCAATGACAATTAGTAGGAAATATCAGATTTCTCAGATGAGCTTCTTCACAATGGTTTTCTGTTAAATCTGGCGCAGAATTGAAATATTTATTTCTAAATGTATAATCGGAGGTAGGGCCTTTGGTTATCAGGCTCCTCTCTGTGGACGCCGTCCTTAAGATTAGACTTAGAACTTTCCCTTTGGAATAAACTTATAGTTAGTATTAGCTCAGGTGACATTGAATAAACCCATTGTAATGCTGCTGTAGGCCTATCGCTGGGAGACTTCTGATGATGCACCTCACTTCCCCTGCTCTCTTTCCAATCCACACTTGCATAATATTATTGTAATTACAATGCGTTTGTCTTTATCAGCAAGTATTTATAGCACCACATTTATTTTAATAGGCCCTCTAAAAATGGAGCAAATTTAGGAAGTAAATTTACTAAATCATTATTGTTTTATAACAATAACTGTAATAGACTGTAATTGGCCTGTTTTTTGTCTGTAATCCAGGAAATATGTGATCAGCATTAGCATAAAATTTTGTCAACAAAAACATTTTCATTTAAAGCAAGCCCCAACATTGCAGCTTTAAACTCCTCAGTATGTGAAGAGTATCTGTATGTAAACTTCTATGGGTCAGGGAGGCCCTCCAAACCAGTTAGTGAAACCAGGTCGAAGACAAATAGTGCTGCTAAGATTAGGCTGATTCTAAATTCATACTGGCCTTGTCACCAACACCACTGAGGTGTGTGACCGTGTGTGCCCATGTGACTGCTTTAAACAGACTTACCGCATGATGACATGCCCAGTTCGTACAGTGACCAACAAACACTGAAAGGAAGAGGAAAAAAGTCACAATATGCCCTTTCTTATCATCCCCTATCCACGCCGACCACTGCTAAACACATCACTGGAGTTATGGCTGGTAAAACCTCTATCTAATAGAATGATACAAAAATACAACCAATTCGTTACTCATTAGGTTCCTGATCCATCTGTCAACTCAGTGGAATTTAACGGCCACATGGTGAATTCAACTTATCGAAACAGAAGGCCTGCATTTCAGCGTTTACTGATTACCGTAATTACATCTTAAGTATTTTTGCTTTACAATTTCATGCAATGAACCAAGACTTAGCTGAAAAGACACTGCACATTTACTTAGCTCTATTTAAGCTTTAAAAGCACATTACACATTAGTCACCCAACAAAGGATGAGGTGAACAAAGACGCTCCCAATAATATGGACAAAGACTATTGAGTACCCTTTTCCCACCACACAGCGGGCTCCCGCTGTCTGAAACTCTGTTGTGACTGATGGTTCTCACCTCTGCTGCCATAAAGGAGAGCGTGTGCATTCCATGGGAGGCTCCCAACAGGCCGCAGACCACAGCCAGGCCACAGCAGTCCAGGAGCAGGGAGACCAGCAGGCAGAGCACTCTCACATGGTTGTTCATTGGAGTGGAGGGGGAGAAAGACAGCTGGGGAAGAGAATTGTAGGTGTTTAGCTGCTGCTTTTGCTGCCCAGTTTCTGCACAAATGGGACAGGTGCATTTCAGTTAGCTACTTTAAGTTCCACTGGGAGAATATTGTCCATATATGCTAAATAAACCGGTGTCTCCAGGACGTCTGTTGCATTCAGCATACACCTCGGTTTATTCCACACTACACAGTGACCCAGCCTACTTAGCTGCAATATTGTAGCGGAAGTGGTGTCTGCATGGAGCCTTTCATAAGCATTTTCAACAAGGCGAGTCTTTCCATGCTCCAGGTAAACTTTGACCAGCACATGTTTTTGGGTAAACCAGCTGAATCTTTAGAAGGAGTATCCAAATAAAATTGATGTGTTTGAGTCTGAAAAGTATGGAAGTAAATTATGTTTAAAATAAAGGATGGTCAATTTAAGCCTGCTCATTCACTGACAGTTCCTGGCAGCATCTGCAAAACTGTCAGCATACTACATTGATAACAGCCTCAAACTGGCTTTTCGCTTTCCTGTGTCTCTCCATCTTCCCTCCCCCCAGTCAGAGTTCCGAATTGAATTTTCCATAAATATTCTGAGTAGAATCCAAAAGGAATATATATATTTGAAAATAAATGAATAGAAAAGGAGTATGAAAAAGAATGACAGTAAGTAAATTTTCTGAAAGAAAAAAAAAAAGATCTGGCCAAAGGTGAAGAGAATCTTTAATGTTCCATTGCTAAATGAAAGAACTCAACAACAACAAAAAAAAGCACCACTGTTGTACTCTTACTTCTGCATTTCTAACCTCTGAAATCCAACCGCTCAACATCTAAAATGAGTGCTGGCCAAACAAAAATCGGATCAGACTACGCTTTTAACATTGCTGACTGAAAAATAATGTGATTTTGGGTCAAAATAGAGCAATTTCAACGGCTAAATTCCAACAGAGCTAACAGTTGCCAGCAGTTGTGTAGCACAAGGTTTTCCCACAACACAGACAACATGACGTCTTATCTGCAGCTGTCTAACCTGAATGTACGATTCTCCTCCCAAAGCTAGAAGCTACAGAAAAAGGAAACACAGCTGGGTGAACAACAGTCAAACCGCAACCTGAAAGGAGGATCACCGAGGGCCGAGGGCATGCAACTCAGACCCACGTAGCACAAGTTATTTACAGAAGGAAACATTTTCCCAACAGTGCAGGCTGCACTGATCTCCTGTTATATGAAACAAGCCAGCATTACATCATCGCTATCATATGAAGTTGATGCATTTTTAAATGTCTCTGCATGCAGGAGAGCCATTAAATTTGATATTTTGCTTTCCCAAACATGAAGAGCACAATCTGATACAAGAGTATGTGGGTGTAATGACTGGAACTGTACCAGAAGTCAACAAGCCAGAATAAGGAACTATTATTAGATCCAGACGTGAAATGAGCACACTCACACTCAAGACTTAAGGGGTACTTTTGGGACACCTTTTAAAAGACCACTAAACAAAATAAGGTATTTTCTTCTTGTGTCAACAAACAGTTGGCTTTTTATAACCATCCCATATCAACATGGCAGTTTTTAGGTTTATTAATGTGATGTTAATGATTTAATTTGTGCAATAACCTATTTCTAACGCAGGCACTTAAGCCTGATTCTGTCTCTTCACACAAATTGTTCCCTGTGTCAGTGTAACAGTCCAGGCAGCATCTCTTATGAAAAAAGAAAGCAGAAATTGGGGTAAGCGTACACTTTGTTGAGTGAGCTCTCTATTCTGATAACAGATTAATGCTAAACTACTTAGCCGTATGATCCCAAAAGCATCGCAAGTATCACTGCATTTACTAGGTACATCTCTGTTAAGATCATCATATACGGCTTCAGACATACATGAAGAAACATTCCTCTGTAACACAAAAGTCTCCAAATAACCCTATACGGAGACTCAAAATTCAAAAGACTAAATAAAATCAACAGACACCTAAAAGGTAAAAAAATGACCTTTAAGATGACATATGCATTTGCATTAAAAGCTACGAAAGGAGCTTTACTTTTTGTAAACAGTGAATTTCATAAAATGTTGCCATGATGTTAGCAAGTTATACACAACCTCATTGGTTTAATTCTGATGTTTATTATATTAACTATTATAAACTGTTTCCAAAAAACAATACTGAAATTGTCAATGAGAAACCCAGAGCAAAACCTGTGACATGGCTGTATTGAACTGAATGCCATGCAAATCAACAGTAACCTGAAAGACTTGTTTAGTCTAAACCATATTTTTGGGAACCTACAGGTGAGGTTGCATATACTTACATATTCAAAACGGTCTTTGCAGAGCTGAACCATGAGATGGAGAAAGACCAGAGCGGAGAACCACAAATACCACATGACCACCTCTTCCACTGTTTGCACATTCAATACTCCAAAGATGAAAATGAACTTGTAAAAGATGAAGTTCCAGAATTTATCCTTGAGGTGCTAAAACAATAGAAAACAAGATTTGATTAAACAGTGACTATGATTTCCACAAAGGCTGGTAATTATATTACAAGTACAACTTCATGCGTTTAAAAACTGGTAAGAAAAACAACAAAGTTACCTGCTTCTCACTGACTCTAAGCGGTCCAAAAACAACACACTGTATCATTTTAGCTATTAACATCAAAGAACACCAGAATGTGTTGACCAGTACCTGCAAAAGCACAGATAAAGTGACCGTTAGTTTCTATGATAGAAATCTATACTCATCCCACTATGAAAAGTAGATGTCACTCACCCATACAAAGAGACTGTCTGTAACAAGATACCAAAGGACAGTTGTTGCCAATTCTGAATTACTTATAGGGTTGCTTAGATGGTCAAGATCGACCTCAGATGTAGCTGGTGTATCCTCTGTGTCCAGGGCCCCATAGCCCGGATCAGTCACGGTAGTGTAGGCACTGAAGATGCTGCCAGCAAGCAAGGCCACACTCAGTGCTGTGTAGGTCTGCAGGCTGGGCCATGGAAACCTCTCCAAAAACAGCAGAGGCATTGCAGCTTACGGTCCACTTCCCAACTTGTAAAAAAAATGATTTTGCTCAACCGCCTGTGGAGAAAATAGTGGATTAGCTAACGTTAGCCAAACTTTACTAAGCTAAGCATACGCATTGCATAAACATTGCACAGCTCACACAGTCACATATTATTTGTAGAGGGGTGTTGTCGGATTGTAGAAGGCTGTGAAATAATGTGGTGGGACAATAGTACTATATTATCTTAATAAATTAACCAAAGTGAAATGCTAAACGAACGATTAGCTGACGTTTGCCATCATGTCAGTTACTGTGTGCAACAGCTAACTTCCCCGAGGCAGATCACAATAAATACTGACGTTAATAGTGAACTGTCACATGACTCTGATTTTACAAAAGACAGCTAAATCTGTGGCTTTACGCTCAAACTGATAGACGGTGTCGTTTTCCATAAAATGTTGCAGAAACCCCGCATTAATGGGGCTTGCGCCAGTAGCGTTATTTATTTACCTGGCTAATGTTACCTAATACTAGCATACTTGCTAGCTAGCACAAACTACGTAGCTAGCCGCTGTTAGCAAACACCCAACACCAAGCCCGTATTAGGTCATCACTTACAGTTTCTCAAAGATTTCGCTTATCCCAATATGAAATATAGTATTTTTTATGATCAGTAGTGCTTTCAGCACTTCTGAAGGAAGAGCAAGGCAGTCAGCGACATCGTCCTGCTCATTTCACCGAACGGGCAGCTGGCTGGAGCCGAGCGGAGGCTTTCTTGTTTGCGCATGGAAACAACGTCATGAATTCTTAAAGTTGTATTTATTGAAATTATGTCAGTCATCTCACTTCTGATATCAATTCGGTTACTGTGCGTGAACATTCATTTTAGGGAAATATGCTAGATATCTTTTGGATACTTTGACAAATCCTTTGTTATCACCGATAAAATAAAGGATAATGTATTTTTATGTATTTATAATAATTCCTAGAAAGCCTCAAAAACTATTTAAAGTCAATGTTCCCCATACATGTTTCTTAATATTTTGATAAACTACTGTACATATTTTGTTGGTGTCTATTATTTGTTAATAACCAAAAAAAAAAAAAACATAAAGAAGGTTTAGGTTTAGGAGGACTTTATGCAAGTATTGTCTAGATCTTATCGAAGTCACCTAAACCCTTATGCAATGTCTCCAGAAACCTTACTGAGTTAAGACAGTGGTGTGCTTTGATCTGACTCCACCCTGTAAGCACCACTTAAAGGCACAAAGATGTGTTGGTTCAGTTTAAACTGTAATTAAGTGTCAATAAAGATACAAACTCAGTATGATCAATATTGAAACCGAAAGTAGTCAACTCTTTGCATGCGAACAGGATAAACTAAACAATACTTCAGTAAATACACAACTGTTGTTAAAAAACGTTTTTTTTAGATTAGGCATTCCATACAGTTTGCCAGGCTCATTGTAATTTTGACCCTCTATATAAAAAGGCAAGCGGTGGTAATATTAATCTATTCAGATAGAAAAGAAGCATTCAATACTTTAAGTCAGCAGAGTCCAAAGATAATGCTGATGGGAGACGTCATAATCTATTCAGTCCTATCAGTCCTTCAGTCCAATAGACATATTCAAACATATTCTCAAATGCGAACAGGTTATCTAAATGGCCAGTGGTGGCACAGTAGGTTTATAGGTTGTCATTCCAAGAAAACGAACTTTGAACAAACTCCCATCTGGTTTCTGTTCAGTTTAGCCATAAAGGGAAGTGCTTGTGCGGCAGTCTGAGCACTCAGCGCTGTGACAGCAAATGATCACATCATGAACACTTCATCTGACCTGGCTCCTACAGAAGCTCCGGAGGAGTTTGACAGTGGGAAAGCTGTGGCGTGTGTGATCCTGGGCCTGTCCTTCCTGGTTGGCGCTCCGGGGAACCTGCTTGTGATCTGGACTATCCTCAGACACATTAAGCAGCGCTCCCACACTGTGGTACTCGTCCTGCACCTCGCTGTGGCAGACATGCTGGTCATCATCACCCTCCCTCTGTGGATCTACTCCCTGCTGCACACCTGGGTGTTTGGAGCACTAGTCTGCAAGGGCTTGGTATACATGATCTATGTCTGCATGTTCAGCAGCATCATCTTCATCACCATCATGAGTGTGGAGCGCTTTCTAGCCATCTGCCATCCATTTATGATGAGGGGCTGGAATAGCCATAGTGCTATGAGCAAATTTCTATTTTTCGTGTGGGTTGTCTCATTTCTTCTGGGATTGCCTGCCATCCTGAACCAGACTGTGGATGAAAGGGATGGAGTCCAGCAGTGCTCTCTGAAGGAATTCAATTCTACTAACCAGGCAATCGTCTTCCTTTGCTTGGAGACCTTGTTGGGCTTTGTATTGCCTATAATAATTCTTAGTATATGTTACTGTCTTGTAGTTGCACAGCTAAAGAAAATGAGCTTCAGCTCAAAGCAGAAATCCATGGTTCTTGTTCAGGCTGTGGTAATTGCCTTCATTTTTTGTTGGTTGCCTTACCACATTATCAACATTATTAATTGTTTTTGCATCCTATCGTCAGATACAGATTATGAGTGTGTACCAGAAAGTATAGTCTTATGCTCCGGAGCCCTTGTTTTCATCAGCAGTTCGGTCAACCCTGTGTTATACGCCTTCTTTGCCAGAAATTTCAGAGGGAGCCTCGATGGGACCCGTCTGGTCAAGCTGTTTCAGGAAATGGTCACATACACAAATAAAATCAGGGAGTGGGCAATACAACACCAGGCTGGCCAGAGGGCAGCAAACACACAGACAGAGCAAAATGCTCTGTGCTAAAGACAAAAGTACAGTAAAACCCAACCTGATTTCAATCAAGTTAGTCTGTGAACATTGCCTTAGTTAATTTAGTAACTACAAGCTATTTCCCATTGTTGATTCAGATTTGGATCAATTGATGCAGAAGTAAACAAATGTTTGATATCTCTAAAAACATCTTTGGAAATGTGTAAAATATTCAGGTTCAATTTCTTCAAAACAGCACTACAATGTGTAGAAGATACAAAATAGTGAGAAAACTGCATTTCTTTTCTTTTTTATGCCTACAGTGCTTTTTTTTTGCTGATCGTGCATATGAAAAGAAAGAAGTGATGCTGCCGGTTATTAAATGCTCTTGAGCTGTGAGTTCTGATTGTCAGTCGAAGTTACCACAGTGATATGTGCCCCCAAAATTCTTTTAAACTTTGTCTTGAACCATATGCTATTTAAGAAAAAAACAAGCAGTGGTGTAATGTTGCCACAATGATCTCTGGAGGGCTTTCCTGCTCACATTGGGGTGGCATTTACATGGGCGTCCATGGGGGAGAGATTACTTGTATTCATGTCATTTTGACACATTTGTTTCTAAATGCTTTGCCCAGAAAATGATATTGTGAGAAACCATCTACTGCTTTGAATGTGAGCTCCTGCATCCTTTAACCAAAATTCTATTGAGTGAGATTATTTTCTTTCTTTTCCCCCATTGCAACAATCACTGGTAGCTTCTGGAGCATATAACATTATAGCAATGGTTACATTTCCAAGAAAATCTGCGAAATGACTGCTTGGCAATCTAATAAAAATCCATCTGGGCTGGTCTGTTTACTTCATTTTATTATTGTTTTTTCCAATAACAGTCTTTTTTGTCATGCACTTCCTGAAAGGTAAATACAATTATTGAAAAAATCACCAAACCCTAAATAAATGTGCTCTGAGGTAAATTACTTTTCTCTGTTAACGATATTAGAGTTATTCAATACTTTGTGTCTGAAGCGTTCTATTGTTTTTCTTTTGTTAAAAGGCTTTTTCTCTATAACTTCCATTTCTCTGAGAAAATACTTTTCATTCTTCAAACCCCAATTTGCAACCCTAGGTGAAAATGAGCAAATGACGTGAGCATGAATCATTGCTGTGCCTCTAAAGACCTTGTGAGGAAACCTTGTTCCCTTGCAGTCTATACATAAAGGGGAAGTGAAGACTTACTTGTAAAGCAATTTGTTATTCTTTTTATCCCAGACACCGCAGTCAGCACATACGCTTGCAGCATGAACCGCTCGCATGAGCTGTCACACTTAGAGGAAAAGGCCCCCGGGGACTTTGATGGAGGAACAGTGGTAGCCTGTGTGATCCTGGGCCTGTCCTTCCTGGTTGGAGCTCCGGGGAACCTGCTTGTGATCTGGACCATTCTGAGGCACGTGAAGCAGTGCTCCCACACCGTGGTGGTCATCCTGCACCTCGCCGCGGCGGATCTGCTCGTCCTCATCACCCTGCCTCTGTGGATCTACTCTTTTGCCCACTCCTGGGTCTTTGGAGAGGCCTGTTGTAAAGGTATGGTGTTCATGATCCAAGCCTGTATGTACTGCAGTGTTTTTCTAATCACCCTCATGAGTGTGGAGCGTTTCGTGGCCGTGCGTTATCCCTTTGCTTCGGCTGACTGGAAGAGGAAAAAAGCTCTGAACAAAGTGCTGCTGGCTCTGTGGACTGCAGCGTTCCTGTTCAGCATACCGGTCATCCCAACTCAGATTGTTGATGGCAAATCAGGAGAGGAGCAATGCCTGTACCGCCTCTACACCTCTGTGACCCAGGAGCTGGTGTGTGTGCTCTTGGAGACAGTGGTGGGCTACATACTACCCTTGTCCATCCTAGTGGTCTGCTATGGCTGCCTATGCAGCCGCATCACTCAAATGACCTTCAGGTCCAAACGCAAGTCCACTGTCTTGATCGCCAGCGTGGTGATAGCATTCGCTGTTTGCTGGACACCTCATCACTTGGGAAACATCCTCTCGCTCATCATCTTGGCCGTTGAAGAAGATGCAGCTGAGCGTCTGGAAGGGGTCCGGAGCGCCATGGCTTTCGTGACGGGAGCTATGGTCTTCATCAGCAGCACAATTAACCCCATCCTCTACATGTTCGCCGCTCACTCCTTCAGGAGCTCCCTGCGTGACATCGGCATTCAAAAGCTTTTCCGCCACATCTCCAGCACCTCCCCAGGTGAAGGCAACAGGGAGGTGTCCTTTGTGTCCAAGAGACACAGCAACCAGACCAACAGCTCACAGTGTGTGACTGAGTCCAAAGACCAAATGAGTGTATTACTTAAAATGTGTGAAAATAGCGGATCCTAAAATGTAAATTGTATTGGTGCTCTTTGTGTTAATGTTACCGTGTATAGTACTTCAGATTTGGAAATTATGGATTCTGTCTGAAAGCAACCTACTTTTACATGGCAATATATAAGATGAACAAGATTTTAAAAATTTTGTCCGCAATGTTTGTCCAACTTTGGAGGTTTTCTCTTTTGGTGGTTCTTTTTTTACTATAAATATATATTTATGAAATTTTATGTATTTGGTATCTTTATTCCTTACATAAGAATATCATTAACCATTCAAAAACAAGACTGGAAATAACTATTGGGTAAAGTTTATGCCGACAAAGGCAAATTTGTCTGATCATGTAGGAACTCGTATATACAGAACACGTTCTATGTTCATTTGTTAGTTAGTGAATTTCCTATTCTCTTACCACAGAGAAGCATTGCCCTCACTACCCTCCCTGTGTTTATGTTTAGTCATGCTGTCATCCTCTGCACTGGACACCTGTAGCATTTCTAGGAAATAAGCTTTATCAAAGTAAATATCAAAGTCAGAATCAAAGGTTACCATCCATATAAAATGACTTTGTCACTTGTGACAGATTAGCTAACAGCTATCCTGTTGTCCTGCTACAGACAACAGTCATGCTTTCAACTTCCTCTCAATGAAAGGATTGCCAAATGAAAAAGTGCATGTTCCCTTTGGTGGTGTGCAAAAAGGGGAATTATGCCCAGATGTTTGTCACAATTTTAGAAAAAACCCAACTTGAGTTTAGAGTTTAGTATCCCCTTTTTCCATCTGCCCCCTAAAATGAGGGGGCCTAGAATTGAACTTTCTAGAGGACATCTTGTCAATAATTTGGCCAAATGTAATTATTTTGTCATGAAACTACACACCTCACAGTCCTAAAGAAATTATTTGCACCAACTAAAGAGACCAGTAGATGGCAGTGGCAACTTCTGTGGGTACAACAGTGTTAGCAGGGATGGTGTTTTTAACATTTGTTGTGTGAAGAGTCAAAACAAAACTGTTACATTTGTTGTCACACCTTAACCCTAATAAGTTTTCCTTTTATAAATCACACTTTACTTTGGACTGAACATGATGAAATGATATATTTCAGCTACATTTCGTACATACAATTTAATCTGTGTGCTGCAGCTCAACTTGTTTTTTCAACATTTTTGTGCCCCAAATTCATGCAAAGCCTCAATCCATTACTTATTTCCCATACATTTCTTGATATGCACGTCAAAAGTCTTGTTGGATTCAATAATAATAAATTGTATGTAATAAAATTATTTCAGCTATAAACTGAACGCACCTCTCTCTAGTGCTGTCATCAATTTATCCGTATCAGTGAGTCGGAACTATTTTAACTGTGACAGTGGAAAAACACAGCCTGCATAGGGCGTGACAGATATGAGATCACACAAAACAGCAGAACTGACACTAAGGCATGCTTGGCATTTTATCAAAGAATACGGAAGCAGCATGTGTAGCAACCTGGTCAATGCTTTTCATCATGACTTGGTTTTGCCAAAATTATCCAATTTCACAGGGACACGCAATACCTACATTTATCACACTGTAATGTATCTAGTTCTCTGTAAATGGATCACTTTCTCCTTTAAATGTCTGCCTGTGTGGTCTGTGCAGGCCAACCTGTTTGTTGTCAGGTTACTGTAATTTGTTTAAACGTAACTAATACTGACCCAGCTAAATATACACCACAGGAGACCTGTCAAGGCCTGCCATCACACACAACATTACAATAAAAGTCACAACCCAAACAAACTACTAAGTGTTGTTAAGCATACCTTTGGCATGGCCTAAATAAGCATCTGTACCAACTGTGCCACAAAGAACATCACTAAGGTAAATGTTCTTTGTGGGATGAGCCTTACAGGTGAGGACTTTCACCTTGAGATGTATCCCGTGTGTCCCTCAAATAACCAGATTGGACAGGTGGGAAGTAGCACTGCAAGGAGATAGATGAAGTTATTCTTGAGTTTGCAGGATTTAAATGAGTGAATGTGGAAAAACTGAAGAAAAGCCTTGAATACACTGGAGTCTGCTGGCCCATAGTGCACAGAGGTGGGAGTGTCAGCAATAACAAAACATGGCATTCTGGGACCTTGGCCAAAGGACTGTGAAAGCTAGCATGAGCCAGCAGGACCTCTGAGGTTAATGTGATATGCAGTTTGCAGATAGCTGCTCTTTTATATAATAATGAAGACATTATTTGTTTTTATCATTTGCAGCCAAATGTCTAAAAGGAATAGAACCATCAACACACGTTCTGCACCTTTGTAACTGATGCAGCATCTGCAATGAATTGATGAACACAAACATACTCAAAATCTGATGTATCTATCAGCTTGCAGTTATGGTCAGATATGTGCTTGGTCTCAAAGGGTTTTAACTTATACAGACAGTAAAACATATAGATTAGTGGCTTGAAATGGCTACAATTACAGTGCAAGTATTGTCTCATGTGGAAAAGTGCCACTGGTTAACACAGTATCTTGAATTGATGTTGTAAAAAAACTGTAAATGTTTCAAATTCTTCGACTCTAATTAAAAAACTGTCAATCTAATATTTACAGCTATGATATATTTTTCATGAAAAGCTGGATTACTCTTACATTTATTTCAAATGTCTCTTTATTTAAATTTTGAGCATCATAACATTCTTTTAAACAGCCCATGGAACTTAATGAGTCAGTTGTCCACCAAAATATTTAACTTTTGAGCTTCTGAGAAAAAATATAAATGAATATGTAAAACTGTAAACCTACTTATAGTCACAGCATTGAATTGTTACAAATCTAAACCAAATGCTGATTTTACACTACGATCACTGACATGGAATGTCCTGTAGTACAATATTGTGGATTTCCCTTACAGTTAGACAAGGAAAAGGGACTAAATAAGTCACAGTCCAATGAGGATATGATGCACATCCAGGAACATACCGTCTCAACTCTGCTCATTATTTTATCTTATGTATTGATCTCTGAATTTTTTGTTTAATGCAAATCCGCTGCACATAAACTACCAATATTCAAAAGCCTTCCTCATTTACCTGCCCTTTGCCTCCGCTATCAGCGTGAAACATCAGTAGACTATATGGATTGTGCCTCATGGAGGTACTGCGAGCCTGTTTAGCCGGACTACTTCCTGATTTGGCTAGAACCAACTGGCCAATCATATTCCGCAATGTATCGAGGCGTCCCACCCTCACCTTTGCAAACCAACCAATAAGCGTCAACTCTGAGCGTCCTTTCGTTCAGAGGCCGAACCACACAGGTAACACGGGGGAAAAAAATAGAAGGAGAGGAGAAAAATCCGTGGCTTGTTATGGAGTTCGTGTGAAGAAAACACGGATTTCCACCCTTCTTTACCAGTTAAACCTGTATCTCTGGATAGAACACACTCAAGTACTGCAACAGGTAGAGTCTGTCCGCAAACTCTTCCGTGGCTCCTCTGAAAAATAATCTCCCCTTTTTCTCTCTGTTTACCTCAATTGAGTTTCCAGCCCTTTTGTTCGCTCTCCTTATCACTTGGAAAAGGTGAACCCTCGTGTTATTTTTATTTTAATCTTTGCTTTAATTGTAGTTTTTACCCTTGTGGTCCCTGATGGCTTCGCACAGTGATACTCTGGTGGTGTTCTTTGGGGCAACAGCTGGTGCAAATGGGGGTAAACTGGGTTCGGATGAGAGGGAAATAATTCTCTTGGTGTGGCAAATTGTGGACCTACATGAGAAAAAGGTACGGACCTTTCTGACCCCTTCGTTCGTTGTACGGTTTCTTGTGTTTCCCCGTGTGTTTGTGGCTGTGTTTCTGCCTGTAGAGGAACGGTGCGTTTGACATTTAAATCAACACGGTGTGCTTTCTTTAACCGCCTGCAGCCCGCCGTGCTCCAGGGCTAGCTAACACAACGCATTCTCACCTTTTTAACAGGTGACCAAAATTTGAATAAGCAGGTGTGAGGTGGCACTTCACTTAATGGGGAGAAAACACACCTACTTGGTTTAGCATGTAATCCTTTCGATACACAAAACGCCGTATTGACAATTAAGTGCTTCTTGCTACTACATTGTCAATTGTTTGACCCTTTAAATAGTCCCTGTCACGTATGTGTTGAGTGTGTGTGTGTGTTTGGGGAGGGGGGCTGTTCTCATAAATTGGTTAAAAAAAGGCTGTTTTTTGCGCCATGAAACGGTAAAAATCCTTCCACAGGTCGGGAAGCTCCACAAATGTTTTGTCAAGCCAGACTCGCTGGAGCTGACAGAGCAGTGTAAAGAGGAGACCGGGCTGAGTCTGGAGGACATCGTTGAAGCCGAGCCTCTAGACAAAGTTCTGCAACAGGTGAGTCGCCCCGGTCACTCAAATGAGGGGGTCATCCAGTCCTTTAAGGGAAACTGTTTCCTTCTAGCGGCGTCCAGGTGTTAAGTTACACTTTCAGAATTCCTACAGTTTACTTAACTCTACTAACTTAAAACAACAGCTCTTGTGACCTCTTTGACATAATGAGAAAGTCATGTTTTTTTTTTTTTGAAAATCTACTTTTTTTCCTCTTTTTTTTCTTGCCTTGAGCTAGATGTGATGAGACAGGCCTGACTCTTAAGCTGTAAGCATAAGTAAGGAGTGTCAAATTCTCCCTGCATGGCCTTTTTAGAAAAACGGCCCTCCACCTGGCTGAGATGTGTCATTGGCCCTGACGGTTAAACTCTTGACAGTTTGTAGAAGCTCAGGAGTTGGGACGGGCAAAGCCTGGGGTATCTGGAGATAAGGAGGAGCCACAGGTCTGGTCTTGCCTTGGTCTGATGCATCCTGCAGACATCTGGAAGTTGGAATGTTTTCTTGAAACAGTGCAGGAGATTTGCTCCATGCAAGGCTGCACTGGAGCCCCCACCCCATTATTCAAATGACACTTTCTGTTTGTGAAAGGCTGTTTGTTTGCAGTGTGCTCACCAGGCCTCGCTTCTTTCGCCCGGTATCGGCCATGCTGGTGCTGAAACTGAAACAACCATAGTACATGTTCCAACAGCCTCTGTAAAACATTTAATACTTCAGTCTGCACTGTGATCATTTTTCCTGCATTTGAGGAATAAGTTTTAAAATATTTATGTATATATATGTAAAATCAGTCATGTTCCCTTACATTTTTGTTTCCATTTGATTGTTTAATTAAGGATGCATTTGCCTTAATTTGACAAATGCTGTCAAAAGGTCCCAAGAAAAATTGTATTTTCAAAGGAGCCCTGCTGCATTCACTGACCACCTCAGTCTTGAATTTAGCTTTATAAGGCAGCTGCTTATGGGGGCATGGCATACAATGCACAGACATGCGCAAAGCATAGACACAGAGCAAAACAGGAGCTCTGTCAGCTTGTCTTAGTTAAACTGTGTTGATTTGGATTTGTGAGTTTGGAAACGGGATTATAAATTTAATTGAATCTTCAACAATCTACTGCCAAATCATTAAAGCTGTAGTCTGAGCTAAATCTGTCATCTTTATCTTAAATGGGTGTATTTAAGTCACCTTTAGAAAGGCCAGCCAGGAACTGGGATTCTTACTCCAACCCTCTTTTTAGGTGTGTCTTGACAAAAGTACTTATGTTGTCAAACATGTTTTTCTGCCTCTGTTGCGTGAGTTTTTGTTTGCACTGGGTGTACCCTTTCAGCTCCACCAGTAGTTTTAAGAACCTCTCATTATCTTGTCGTGACCGTGTGTTGGGGTCAGTGTTTCTGTTTCTGTGGTCTGAGTGTGTTGCATGCACTAACAGGTCTGTCGGGGTAGTTCTTTTTATTCACCCCCCCATATTCTCACTAGCACTTCTGTCAAAACATTTTGGGGGTTGTAATTCATTTCTTCATTAATGAAATGTGTAGAAAAATTAGAATTGGGCATGAGTTTGGTCCAGGTTTTGAAGGTGCTTGCATCAGGCACCTATTGGTTAAGGCCTCAGCTGCTCTCGGTTAGACTGTGTGCTGAACCTTCAAATATTAACCCAAGCAATCAGTTTGTTCTTCTCATACCTTTGTGTTGCTGGTTACTTTCCCTCACCATTGGTCATTCCAAGATTAGTTTATCATCGTAAAGAAAAGATTATTGAATTGTCTTCAAAATGTTGGAAGTTTTGTATTCCACTGCGTCGTTCAAGCATTTTCCCCACAGCTGTTTGTTTGTTTTATTTACTTTTTGCTCATTTTAATCAATTCATTGATACAAGGTCACAAGCAGCTGTGTCATTGTTGGGCTTATGTTGACTTGTATAACTACAGATCCCAAGGATGTCTGTTATGTAAAAGATTTCTAAAGGTAGACCAATTTGAATAGATTAGCAGGGCTGTTTAGCACTGGGCTCGTATACAGAAATGACCCATATCAAGGTGATAGCAAGTACTAAAGGTTTCACCTTTCCATTTCCAGAGTTCATTGAAAGACGTTGGCAAGCCACAGCTGAATGAACATAAAAGCTACTACACAAATTCCTCATACTTCAGAGACTTCAGAGAGAATTCAGGTTATTATTTGCAGCATTAATGTTTTCAAGCAGTCAGGTTTTTCCCAACCAATTCGAACAGGCTCAGGAAGCTGACAATGCAACCTGTCCACATGCAACAGTTATTTTCTCTGAAAGTCTTTGGAAAACCACGGTCTGATCAACATGTGTGCACAGACTCGTTGCTCACTCGGTTTCAGGAGCTCCAAATCTGGGAAAGCACAGAAGCATCTTAATTTCTTTGGATCACTGTTGCTTTGGACCCTTTTCCAGTGGTATCATGTAAATGTTCCTCTTGAAGAACTGTTCTCGTGGACAGCCCTCAGTCATGTGTTTCCAGTTCAGACTATTGTTCAGGTGAACACCCCTAATAGGCTGTCGTAAGCCCGGAAGGAGACAGTCTTTGGCTCTTTCCTGGTCTCGCTGTCATCCACAATCGCCTTATTTGTCTTGTTCAAAATCAAGACAAGAGGATTGTTCGCGCAAACCCACAAATGGCATTGGAGCAATTGGACAACTTTTTTTCTTCTGTTTTCTTTGCTCCAGTTTATGAAAATAATCATATTAGGATGTTTATGATATCAGTTAGTCAATTTTTCACTTGTTCAGCCAGGCAGAAAAAGGAAAATATTTTAAAAACAAATTACCTTTATGTGTTTTTAGGACTGTGGCTGTGACACATTTGGTTCCCATGTTACACCTGTAGTTCTTTGTGGGTCCTCGGGGTGGACTGCTGGTTTAGCTGCAGTCTGACTGCTCCAGCTGGAACAGTTTGGATTGGGTTGGAGACATTGACAGCATGCTGCAGCCTGTGAAAAGTTGCATGTTATCACAGTCTTGGCAGACACAGTTGTGAAACATGTTTACTAGCTGTCCTCATGTTTTTCCCACTGTTGCATATCACAGCCCAACGTGTTGCAGGCAGTCCTTCTGGAGGGTCTTCTCCCATTCAAACGCTGGGAATACTATGAAAGACATGACATGATATGTAATATGTTTCATTGGTAAACATAGATATGACAAAAACAGCCTCAATAGGACATACCTAACATATTTAGGAGATTTCCTTCATAATTTGACTAGTCATGAACACACCGTGTCGGCAAGAGTCCTGTGGTGGAAGTGGGTTTACACAGTTGGCAGCAGGGATTGCCCACACCCTCCCTCATACTCTTATCAGAGTTTGTTTCAGCCGCCACCATCTTACCTCACCACTGCATACAAATGCTCCAGCCACACAAGAGAGCAAACTCTGATAGGACCACGTTCAAAGGCCACTTCCTCCCCCATGCCTCTGGAAATGCCCTTCAGATCAAAAGAGAGTCAGAAGATTGCACCAATTTATAGTGACGCTTGAAACCATTCTGGAGAGAGGTTTTGCTTTCTTTTCAAGTATGAAGAATTGCAACAGATAACATGGGAAATAGATGTTCCCCTCTTGTCAGGTTATACATTTTGCTGGCCTTATTATCGATGGCAGATATGTCTTCTGCTCATATTGTTTGCACAATTATTTTAGTTATTTTTTTACTTTAGAGGAACAAATGAGAGGGTGTGTCTTCACTTCTCCTTTAGCGTTTAGCTATCCTCTCGCTTGTATGCACAACCATGTGCAAACATTGGGAATGTTGTTCCTGGAAATAAGGAAATGTCCTGTACGATTTGGCTTCGATTTAGTTTTTTAATCAATAAAACTTTGATGGGTCATTATTCACAATTTTAGATTGATACATGGCACAACCTCCTGCGACCTCGACAGTAATGCAAGTGGACTAAGGAGCAAAGTGAACTTTGACAACCAGCCACCACCGACTCACAGTTCCTTATAACACGCCATTAATGAATGTAAAATGTTCATGCGATAGAAGAAGGATTTCCCGATTGAAAATATTTTGAAGGAGCTGTAGGTCTGTTGGTCTGCTGAGCACCCCTTTGACTGTTTTGAAGCATGCCCCAACACACACCTCGAAGTCTGAGTTATTGTCAAACATAGCCAGTGGTCAAGAGAACCGAACCGGTCACTGAGTTTAAGGTGGGCCCATATCCAGGTGACCGAACTGTTCTCTTCCGGGAACACGGAAGTCGTGTAGAAAAAGCCAATAATTTGTGTCTCTGAAAAGACGCAGATAATTTCAAGTCCGTTCGAAGTTGAAGTTCCATGTTATTGATGACTGTGTTACTGGAATATTACGTCCCCTCCACAGACTGTGTGTGGGGGGGGAAAGGTCCTACATGGGTTGGTGTGATATCCAATGTAGGACTAATGCATAAGGACAACCAACAGTTAGTTGGTTAGAATGCTCAAAGGTGAGCAGATGAGTCCTAATTTGGACTTTTGGAGTACTTTAGTGGGGTTCCCATCCTTCTCTGAGTCTGCTAGATATGATAGTTGGCACTCTTTTGCTCAGTATGTCTCGCATCATTAGTGTCATAAAGCTTAAGATTTATGCTGGAGAGAGGACCTCTGGCAATGTGCATCGGGTTTACTAAGCACAGTGGAGCCTGATGGGGTGATGGCTATAGATTCACATAAATATGTGGCAGGTGCTGGATTTCAGCATGACTGCTCTAGCCCTCAGGCTGGTTTGACCTGTATGGGTAGGTTCTTTGTTTGGTTATGTAAAGAGAATCTGTGATCCTAATGATTAGTGGTGTGATCATTCCTTTCCTCCCTCACAAAGCAAACACTTAAACCTGTTTGACATGCCTCATTCCTGATTAAGAGAAAAACGTTTTTCTTTTAAACAACAAAAACAGCTACATCTCTGCTTTTTAGGATTCCAGTTCCACTGACTCGAACAGGACTGCAAGTTAATTTGGACATGTATTACCTTTATAAAAAGTTTACTTTTGTGTTTTTGCAGACGTTTTGAGTCCTGAATCAGTTATTTTATTTTTTTACTGTTCCCTTTAAAGACAGTTTGAGTCCTGGCTATCATTATATCATGTTTTTGACGTGGAATCTCCTGTTTGTCTCAACAGTTCCACCAGACTCTGACATCAGAAGTCAAATGCCTCGGCAGGAACTCTTACACACTTTTGGTGAACAGTCCACTTGTCATTCGACAAGCTCTCCACCCTGAAGCGTCCAAAAAGGTGATAATTTCCCTAAAATGATGCCATATATGTCAGTTTAGACATAAAGAGTTTATATTCTTTTTGAATATTCCTCAAGTGAATTTGTTAACTTGAATGCATTTTTAAAATATTATGTTTTAAATGGTAGACTACCTTTTTTTTTTATTGGAAACACTAATGCTATGTTTTTGTCAATAAAGGTCAACGATTCTCTATATGAACAGGCCAAATATAGATGTTTTGTTGTGTTTAGAAATGAAACCATGACAGCAATTTTCCACTGTGTTCACTGTGCATACTAACTTCTTTTTTTTTTCTTCTTCTTCAGAATCTTATCCTACCTGAGTGCTTCTTTTCATTTTCGGACATAAGGAAAGAGTTTCAGAAATGTTGTCCAAATGCTGGCCCTGTGCAAAAGCTCACTCTCGCCTCCATGCTGGAATGTATCCTTTTGCTTTTGCGTCCAATTAGAAATTATTAAAAAATCTATATTGACCTGCAGTTTAATTTGGATTATGCAGACGTGTAAAAAATCAATCAGAAGAACATATCAACACAAGTCAAAATAACATCTAAAAATGAAAGAGAGCCTTAACTGTACGCACAGATGTTGGTCTCCCTGCTGTGTCAGAGCAGTTGACAGGCATGAGGGAGGTGAGGAGCATGGTGCAGCTTACCCTCTCCATCCTGGCTGAACCCTACAGTAAGTAGAATTGGACTTTATGTCTTTTGTGAAACGATATGCACTCTCGTCCTTCAGCTCCCATGGAGTGTTTGTAGCTGAAGGCAACTGGCCCATAGAGAGAAAGGGGAAGTTATCTTGTAGTTATAAATGTTTTCCTTTTTTTAAATAATTCATAACAACCACATTTGCTGCTCAGAATAATTATTTGAGCCACAGATTTTCTTTCATGGTCTTATTTCTTTTGGAAACTGGAATAGTAGATGTTTATAGGAAGAGCCCAGTTAGTTATAACAAAGTACCGGTAGTTTTTTTTCTAGTATTTCCTTGAACCCTCTGAGAGCATGCGTGCCCAAGCAGTAAAAACACTCATTCCTCATTTGGCATGTGAATGCATAGAAGTAACGTGACTCCAGATATATTGCAGTGTCAATGAATCAAAGCTGTATGTAAAAGGTTTCATCTTGACTGTGGCCATCCCCTCAGGGGGTAACCTTGTTGTAATTGGGTGGGATTAGCTCCAAGAATGCAGAGTGTACAGAAGTATACCACCTGGCAGAGTAAACCCTTAGATTCCATATAGGAATTCAAAAAACGATTTCAGGGATTCAGAAATGATTTACATTTTTTCCCTCCCTTCAGATCACAAATTCTCCTGTTTTGAAACGGTGAACTACAAGTTTGACTCCGGCACATGGTGAGTAAAAATCAGATTTATAAATATATATATATATACTCACACACGTGTATCCCAGCCTGTCTCTCACACCTGTTAGCCAGCAGTGTTGGTTACAGACAACCCTCCTCAGGTCTCAGACCTCAGAGGCTGAGCATTGATTACAGCAACACCAAAAGCACAAGTGTGTTATTAAAGCTGTCTGGCTTTGCCATCAAGTGCTTAGCTGGATATTCAGTGGCAGGGTACCAGATCCTGCTGCTCTCAGAAAGCCACAAGCCTGTCACCTTGACAACCCTGACATTTAACCATGGGAGCGTGTTACTGTGTGAGTAGTTCCTCAGAGTGGTCTCTTTCTTTGCATTCTGTGGACAATTTGTTCAGACTTAACAAGAGTGAGAGGAAGTCTTTGTCCCAGTCACCTGCAGAAATGCTCAAAATCTATGCTCCTCATTTTTCTATGATCACAAAGATCTTGAATGTGTGTTTTTTTTGTTTCTTCCACGTGCTGTTTTTTTAGCAGTAAGACTGAGCCGGTGGACACTGAAACGGTGATCAGAGCACGGGGGCTTCCATGGCAGTCCTCAGACCAGGACATTGCACGCTTTTTCAAAGGCCTCAATATCGCCAAGTACGTCATCCACAGATTTATTCCAGTTGTGCTTTATACGATCAAAATAAATAGAGATGTTTGTATCATTTGAAGACTGTCACTGGTTCTATGGAGTCCCCTATTCAAATTGATACAAAACCTTTTCAACTTGATTACATTTCCATCATACCTAAATTAGTCTAATTAATAAAAGGATGTGACAGTTTAGTGTTTTTTTTGTAATTTTGGGTGCGAAAGTGAAAATGTTCTGTAAAATAGTGTTTGTCTGCAGGAATACTATCTTCTGCCTCAAGCACTCAAAACAAATGTAGGTGGGCTTGTTGTGCAGCTTTTTTAATCCCAGTATTTGAGCTAGTGTGACGATCATTTCATAAAAAGACAGTGTCTGAAGAAGAGGATTTCCATTGCTATGTCAGATTCTTCATCCGTAAGCAGAGTATCGCTTTGTGAACATATCCGTGCTCTTGCCTTTCAGGGGTGGTGTGGCCCTGTGCCTTAATGCTCAGGGAAGGAGAAATGGGGAGGCCCTGGTTCGTTTCATCAACTCGGAACATAGAGACTTGGCCCTGGAGCGCCACAAACACCACATGGGCAGCCGCTACATCGAGGTTGGGCTCAGCACTGACCCACAGGCTGCTTTTACTGTCAATTAATTGAGCAGCAACTAAAGTAAAAGCTGGTTTCCTCTGATCTAAATGTAGGTCTACAAAGCCACAGGAGAAGAATTCCTCAAGATTGCTGGAGGTCGGTTTCAGATTTTTTTTTCTTTTCCTTGTTGTCCATGTTTGCATGAACAGTCATAGTAAAAGACTTTCTGTTAGTGGTGGGAAGCTTCCATTTCTTTCCTGCCCCACATGTAGAAAAAGTGCTGCTTTATAGTCCAAAGTGGCTCTTTCTCCTGTTACCTGTCTCTCTGCCTCATCTCAGCGACTACCTGGCAGCTCCGCTCAGGCTAATAAAAGACACTTTGTAGGGTTTGCTGCTCAATGCCCCCCATTCTTCCTCACCTTTTCATGCTCAGGGCAACCCCTGAGAGGCCAGTTTAAGAGAAATTTCACCCTCAGCTCACCTGTTCAGTTCAGCCCCACTCCCATGAGGCAGAGAGGGCCGACGCTCGATGAAAGGACAGACTCAGTACCTACACAAAAGGGGGTGTGAAGAGACAAAGGCAGGACCTGAGGCCTCTGGATCATTGAGCAGCAGCCAGCAATAACACAGGACAGAGATAGCAGGCAAAGAAACAGTCATTCACAGCAGATAACCAACAGTGGCTGCTAGTTAGACCATGGACTTTACTCGAATGAATGAGGATCGAAACTGAGGGTTTATTGATTTAGACCAGGGTACTTGTCCTATGCAGGCTATGACTTACAAAAATGATTGATACTTCTTGGTCTGTCTTTGGACGTTATGTATATAATTGAATAAATAGGAACAGAATGGAATAAATAAGTCAGCAGAGGAAGTAAATTGGAAACCAAATGCTGACGTCTTTGTAACGGATTGTCATAAGTTCTGAAAAATTTCATCATGGTTCAGCTAGCTATCATTGAACAGCAACCACTAGTGAGACTCTGCTGTAATGTGGTCACTTTCCTTGTTTTTTCTTTCCTGCCAATGTCATGATAAAAATGGGATTCAAAGTTTAATTTGGAAAATGTGTTTGACTCAGAGCTCAGTTTGTATCATATGGGATCCTGGCTTAAACTGTGGAAGGTTGGTTCTAAACCATCAACAGTTTTCTATTTTCTTGTGGAAGAAGAAGCTTCATGGCCAGGAGGTGGTCACGAGGAGATGATTTTAAGTATTATTCAAGTGTCTCCTCTTCCCTAAAATGTATGTGGTTTTCCAACATGCAACTTTAATTCTTTTCATGCATTTTAACTATTAATTTTAACCTAAAAACATGCAATTCTAATGTTGTATACTTACAACCTTGTCCCTCTGTGACTTCAGGGACATCTAACGAGGTGGCCCAGTTCCTGTCTAAAGAAAACCAGGTGATTATCCGGATGCGGGGATTGCCGTTCACCGCCACACCCCAGGAAGTGCTGTCCTTCCTTGGCCCCGAGAGCCCTGTCACAGATGGTGCCGAGGGTCTTCTCTTTGTCAAGTACCCTGACGGACGGCCCACGGGAGACGCCTTCGTATTATTCTCTTGTGAAGAATATGCCCAGAATGCCCTGAAGAAGCACAAGCAGATCTTGGGGAAGCGTTACATCGAGCTGTTTCGAAGCACCGCTGCAGAGGTGCAACAGGTAAATTCCTTCAGACACATTGTCTGAGAACTACTCTGGCTGCTGGTGAGAATCCTGTGATATTCTTAAAGGCTGGGAAAATGTGTTCACATATTGCTACAATAGTAATTGCATAGCGGACAGAGTAAGGTCAACTGGTAGCATGCGTGCAACACGCAGTGACATGTTTAATGTAAATATTGTTTTTTTATTTTATTTCACTGTATAAAAAGTCCCTACTGAAAGGAATATGATGTGTAATACCAGGAAGCAGTAAAAGTGGAAACTATGATGAGGAACTTGTTACCAGTGTTTTCTGTTTTGGCCTCAAACAAATGTATGTGTTCCATGAGATGAACTAAAATAACATTTGGTAGAAAAACCACAACAGCTGCTAGGAACAGTGGAATGAGGAAACACGGTGGCAAAACAATTACAGCAAGCACTATGAAATATTTAAATCGCCAGTAATGCTCAAACGTATATCTGCAACATGCACTCGGGAACTCCTGCCCTGTCATCCGAGAGCTAACCTTTATGTGAACTTGTGTCTGCAGGTATTGAATCGCTATATGTCCACACCCCTGATCTCCACACTGCCCCCTGCTCCAATCGTACCCGTCCCAGTCCTGGCCGCTCCATCCTTCCTGCCGGCAGCCAGCAGCTCTCGGGACTGCGTGCGCCTCCGTGGCCTGCCATACACAGCGGGTATCGAAGATATCCTGGAGTTTATGGGCGAGCACACCGTGGACATCAAACCTCACGGAGTCCACATGGTTCTTAACCAACAGGTCTGACAAAAGGCTGAGGCTGTCAAAAGTAATCACATTAGACAAAGTATTAATGGGATTTACTTATGTTTTTGTTCCTTTTTGTGAACCAAACCACATTAATAATCAGTTCCGAATGCTTTGATAAAAATATTTTTCCCTGTTTTTAATCTCCTTCTTACTTATATGGCTTTTGCTTAACGCTAATATCGTTGTCTGTTCGATTTGATCTGAAGATCTCCGTCTCTGTTCATTCAGGGCCGGCCCTCTGGGGATGCTTTCATCCAAATGAAGTCCCCTGACAAAGCCTTTATGGTGGCCCAAAAGTGCCATAAGAAGACAATGAAGGACCGTTATGTTGAGGTTTTCCAGTGCTCCACAGAAGAGATGAGCATTGTGCTGATGGGGGGAACTCTGAACCGGAGTGGCCTCTCACCGCCACCCTGTAAGCTTCCCTGTAAGTCAACGCCACCCAGAGATGTTCATTAAGGCAGTATCTGTTTGTTATTGTGATACGTTTTTGGATTTTTCACTTTGATCCAGAGAAAAATGTCAGAGGCTGGATGGATGTCAGACTCAAAATGACCGATAGGTTTAACTGGTTTCCTGAGGGATCAGTTGTCTGTCCTCAGTTGTACTAAATACATATGTTTTGCAGACAAACATCGGTTTGATGTGTCACATCCCCACAGCGTGCTGGTAGAATCATGCGCTTTATTTGGCTGTGCCCCATTTGCACTCCCTTGTTTACCTCTGAAACACTGATGCAAGTTTAGAGGTTTCTGAAAGCAGCCCTTAGCTGTGTACTTTGCTCAGTTTTGCTCATATCTGTCTCCTGCCAGAGATTAGATTGTGTCAAAGACAGTAAACATTTCTTTTTCCTCTCAGGCTTCTCTATGTTTCTCTTTTATTGCTCATTGGTTAACAGTTGGTTTGAATGTCTGTTAACCATTCTGTCCCAAAAAAATTTTTATGCTTTAACCTTTTATTTAAAGTAATTTCCTCTTGTGCAATATTTCCACAAGGTCATCTTTGTCGTCTTCATAATATATATTTGGCACTGAGGGGAGACCTCAACTACCCACAAACTCCAGCAGATAGTGGCTGTTTGTGTGTAAATAAATCCTTACCATCATTTGTGTGTTTACATTGCAAGTATGTTAGCTTGAAGGACACTCAGTTTTGTAAATACTGTTCTGGTCAGAAAAAGTTCCGTACCCTGTCTATAGAAACCCTGCGAGCATGCCGGTAGAAGCTAATGTAACACCATTGTCATGGACTGACGTCATCTAAGAGAATATTTTGTTCTGTTCTGGTTGGACAAAACCCAAAAAAATGGAGGACCAATTCATAGATATTCTGTAATCTACCAATAGAAAGTTAGGTGACAAGACAGTCTGGGGAAAGAAAGCCATGAAGCTGATATCCATTTAAGTCCCCCTGTTCTTCACTCTGACATTGTTGTTCCTCTCTTTTGCTGGTTCTGCTAAATCAGGTCAACAGCTCTGTGAGCTGAAGCCGGCCGGTTCATTTTACTTATGAAGGAGGAAAATAAGTAAATCCTCAATTTATAGGACCTCTAAATAGGTGTCTATTCAGTCTATTTCAAGCTCTTCAATCTTCCGTCTGACATTTCTTTTTTTTTTTTCACTTAGATGTTTAATCTTGGCAAATGTTGCACATTAGTTTCTGTTCAATCCAGAGAATGTGCATGTTGAGATGAGGCGAGTGTGCTTAATGCTGCTCAGTGATGACTAAGAGTGCTCTCTGTTTCTGCAGGTCTGTCTCCCCCCACAGCCTACCCTGCCTTCCCCACGCCACCTGCCCTCCTCTCAGAAGCTGCCCTCTTTCAGCCCCCCCTGCTGGCGGCCCCCAGACCTCCTCAGGGCAGCATGCACAGCACCACTCACACTCTGGCCTACTACCCCCCCCAGCCGCACCTCTACATGAACATGAACTACACAGCCTACTACCCCAGGTCAGGACAGCAGGGGCTGCACCAATGCATTTCTCACACATCTGGCCTCTGCACTTTTTATTAATTTATTTACCTCCTGAATCTGCTCTCCAGCCCCCCAGTGTCTCCTTCCACAGTTGGCTACTTTGCCGCCCCCCCGGGGATGGCGGGACAGCCCCACCCGGCGGCCGCAGCAGCCGCCTCCTCCGTGCTGCCCCAGCCGGGGGCGCTGGTCAGGATGCAGGGTCTGCCCTACAACACAGGGGTCAAAGACATCCTCAGCTTCTTCCAGGGATACCAGGTCAGTACGCACAAGAGAGAAGAAGCGTGTCTGTGTTTGGGAGGGGGGGGGTCCAGCAACCACCGTGGCCATAGAGAACTTCTGAGCTGACCAGACACGTCTGAAAGTGTTTGATTAACACAAAACATTTGTCGCAAATTACAAATTCCACCTCTGTAGCGTTCTCTGAAGGAACGTGTGCACACTTGTCCCCCCCCCCCCCTTTGCTTCCCATGTTTATCGCCGCCGGCCCTAATTAGGCGGAGCCCCCTGAAGCAGGTATGAACCCTGACAGCTGCTGCCTCACCAGGCCGAGGAGGCCGCGGGTGGGTCTGGAGGTGGGGGTTGGGCTGTTTGGGCTTATCCTGGCTCTGCTGAACTCTTCATGGTTCGTGTCATTTCGTGCCGGTACATGAGTTCCTCTTAAACGAGTGAGCTTGTTCACACGGGGAAGATGGCGAGAGCCGAGGGATGCAGGTCTGTGTGGGCACGTTGTCTGTCTGTGAAGGACTTGTTCTGACTGTTGGCTGAACTGCTGCTACTGTGTCCACAACGGAGCGAGACTGAGGCTGTTCTTGCAGCAGACCTGTTTCTCACACAGACTCACACACCTTCTCGTGACTCAGAACTATGTGTAGCTCAAAAGTCTTTTTGTTGTGTGTGTTTTTGTACTCCTGGGGGGGGGAGGGGTTAATTTATTGTTCTCTATCGGTGTGGAAGCCTCCACCCTGACTGTGTGTCCATCACTATGCTGTCTGTAGTACGCCCCTGATGAGTACAGCGGCGTGGTTCAGATGAGCGAACAGGCCAGGAGTCTGGTTCAGCCCAAAGAATGGCTCTGTCTTTAGGGATTCCCCGCAAGGTAAGAAGAGCCCTGGAGAGGCAGTGAGGAGATGGGAGGCTTTTTCTCAACTTTATTAACCTTTGCATGTCTGAAATAGCCAGTAACAAAAGTGGCCTGAACGCTGTGAAAACATCTGGAAGTGTGGTGTGGGGATTTTAGTTCTCATCTCATCAGCTCTGGACGCAGCATGCTGTCCAGCTGCTGGTGAATCTGCTCTTTGATCATTGACTGAGGTGTGCAGATCAAGCTACGGAGGGGGTTGTTGCTTTCCTATTTCCAGATGTGAATGACCTGTTCCTCTTTTAAACAGAATACCTGTTAGGTTTATGCAGGCAGTTCCAGCATCTTACTATTTCAGCTCAGGATTTGGGCCAGAATACCTGGTTTTATTGGCTCTTAAATCACCTCTGCCTCATGTCTTTGCATTAAGAGCCGGCCGCCTTTAGGCTGATAACTGTCTGCTGATTGTCTTCTAATGATAAAGTCAGCTAAATCCTCATTTAAAGTCTAATCAAGACTTCAGTCTGAACCCGACGCTCAACAGGGGCCATTTTCACAGCGTCCCCTCCGAAGTGGACTCGACTGTTTGTTGTGAACGTTCCCTAACCCCTAACAGCATGGCCTCACCCTCACTGCTTGTCTGAGGATCATAGATCCTTTTGCCGTCAATGCTGATGTGATCCGTAAATCAATTCAGATTTGCACGTGTTTTTTTTGTTTTTTTTAACAATCAAACTTGATTTGGGTGCAAGATGTAAATGCATGTTAGCAAACAGAGATTGTGTGCGGTCCCTACCTGCCATTTGGGTTTCAGGCTCTGAGAACAGCATGCTGTCTGCTTGGTTCCCTTTGCTCTGCTTTCCGACTGGACTGCTCTGATGAGGCGTTCTGGGTGATTTCCCCTTGGCTCTGCGGGTTCCTCATGCTGTTTTCACGTGACAAAAGCAGTGACTCCTCGTGTCTTTGTTCTTTAATCTCTCCGCAGCTCCAGCCAGATGCCGTTCTCATCTTGTATAACTTCAGTGGCCAGTGCAGCGGCGAGGCCTTGGTCACCTTCCCCAGTGAGGAGATGGCCAGGCGGGCTGTGTCCGAGCGCTCTAACCACCCATTCTATGGCCAGCAGGTCCAACTGGTCTTCTGTAACTGACCTCTCCTCCTCCGTTTCTCTCCACCCTATTTGGTTTCTCCTCCTGCAGAGGAGCCTTCTGTGTTTCCTCCCTCCCCAGCAGCTCGTACCTCAAAGCTCCACTGCATTCCAGTTCTTTGCTCCACATCTGTCCAAACCTTTTTGCTTTTCCAAACACACACCTGTCACGGCCGGTCACCACACTCCAGATGCTGCTGTTGGAGTTTGGGCGTCCACAGATGAAGCAGCTAGATGACTTTGTGGACACCCTGGATGGCATTCCTGTTTCTTTGCAGCCACTGCTTCAGCCGGCTGCAGAGAAGAGCCGGTGCAGAGCCTGGAACAGCCAAAAAAAAGCCAAACACTTGGATGTATTTAATTATGAGTGTGTCCCCCGATGAAACTGAACAGTGTGTCCTGAAACGCTTGAGGCTGTACAAACAATTTCTACACACAAATCTGTTCTGTATGTTTCTATTCTTAAGATTTAACTCTTAAACCACTATAAACTTTAGATTTTTCAACGTTTATGAACCTTTGTATTAGTGTTATGCAATTACAGCTGTGTGAGTGAAAAGACAAAGCCATAAAAACCAGTTTAGACTACTGAAACAAGGTACATCTGTATATTTAAATTCAGTTTAATTGAGTTTAAACAATTAGCTCTGAGCTTCAGGGACTCTTAGTACTGCACAACACCACAGCTGTAGAAGTGTACCAACTAATCTGTGCCTTTGTTTTGTAAAAAGCATTTATATACCCATCCCATTTGGGCATTTCTAAGCACTACGGATTTCTTTTTGCTCTAACGAAGAGATAAGGAACTGGTCCTCTTTAACAGTGTAGCATGGCAGATTAATTATATTTTTATTGATGCCATTTCTTTCTAAAAGCTGAGACTTTGTTATGTAATGTCCAATGACAAAGGCTTTTCCTCTGACCAGCCGCAGCGACGGTCTCTCCTCAGTTTTTGTTCCCAGGCTGCGTAACAATCAGTCCGCTGCATGCTGTTATTACGACTCCCAACCAGAGGACTGTGTCAACCTGTGTCAAGCTGCACCCGGTTTCCTGGGAGGCCTGGTGACGGCCAACTTAGTTTTGTTTTTGTTTTATCTCAACATGCCTACACTACCCAGAGTGCAATACTGGCCCAGAATGAGGCGAGGTCAGCCTCTGGTGGCAGAGGAGATGTTTGCTTCTTTTGTTGTGAGTTTGAGATTTGCATGAGTTTAGATCTGTGCATAGAATGTAAACAATAAAAAAAGGTAATGATTATTCACGTTTCATTTGTTCTACAGCGCTTTTTTAAAAATTGAATCAACTTATCTCTACAATTAATGTTTCTCTATAGAATAGAGATAGCCGAATGATCTACACTAAGGTTGTGACGGTTTGTTTCCAAGATACTTAAGAGTTTTTGTTGCATATAATAAGTTTGACAATGCAGATAATGACGTGTCTGCACGACAAATCTAATTTAATTTCTGTTACCTTTTTAGTGTGAGGAGTGTCCGGACAGCAGTGGTGCAGGTCAGCACAGCTGACTATTGGTAGAAAAAAAAGCAGTAAATACGTTTCCACCTGAGCCCAGCTCCACCTTCAATAGTTGGGCAAATAATAGGGAAACTGTTGCCTCCTGTGTATTGGAATGTTTCCTGTTAAAGCTGCCCTTTCATCAAACATTCCACTTGATTCTGATTGGTTATTTTCAGTGATCTGGTCAGGCACCACATTCAACACCAGCCCTGCGGATATCTAAATTCAACAAAACAGAGTTAGTTCACACACAACATTGTAAGATGAGTCACTTAATTTTTTTAAAGTGTGGCAGTGTATAGAAACCGATGTGTGAACTCTGTATTTGATCATTTTAACTCTCTACACACCGACATTTGCCAAAGGTGGCAAAAACTTTGAGATTCAATTATAATATTTCTGGGATCGTTTTTAGTATATAATAACTAGGAGGCTAATCACTCAATTAAAAGGATGTCTCGCCAGACTTCTTATAAATCAAATACAAAAACACCTTCATTAAATTTAGAGTTTACTAATTCATTTATAGATATATTTTCCATCCATCCCACCCGAAGTAGGAAACCCAGACTTCCCTCCATGGGTGAGAGCCCAACCTCCAGGCCTGGCTCCAGAGGGGCGAGGGAGCACTAGGTCCTCTTCTCTTTTTCATCACAAGGGCTCTTTGGGCTGTGCTTCCTCTGATCCTGTGCCTGGACCTGTTTGCCTTGCCTGAAAAGTATTCACTGAATACTGAAAAGCAGAAATTAAATGACACAAAAGAAAAATAGTACTTTTTATAAAGACAAGGAAACAGTGACACAAAGCCAGGACTGAGTTTTCTGTTTTATTGACATACACTACATTAGAGCCTACAGTATGATGCAAGGTATTATTCCCTTTGAATAATTTCAAAAAGCACTGCAGTCTTAAAAATTACAAAAAACATTTTTACATACAAAATATATACAATACAAGGCTTGGTAAACATCAGCTAAACCTGTATTTCCCTTTTAATTTACATATCATTCATATATATATATATATATATATATATGTATATGTATATGTATATATATATGAAAACCAATACATGTCCTCGTGTCCTTAGCCTTTTTAGGAATGACATCCATTTCAAAGTATCAAAAATAGAGTTGTACAGTCACTGTAGCTTTACTTTCATGTAAAATGGGAACACATTGTTCGGTCTTTGGTTGTGACAGAAGAGGACAGCAGTCAGGGTTTACATCAATGCTGGTTTTGTTTTGTTTTCGTTTGTTTTTTTCTTGACTCGTGTCTCTGCAGACCCTGCAGAACCAACTTAAAAGCTAAAAAAAATCTGTCTGATCTCCCATCCAGCCCTTTCGGTATGTCCACCCCGCACCTCTAAAAAACTGACCTCTGTCTTCATGGGCAGAAAAAGAGAAAACACCCAGAACAGCATACAGACACACACAAACTGCTTTTCAAAGAGTTAAGGCATCCTACATTCACATAGTGACAGGATATTCTCACTATACGAAAGTGTCTTTTTTATTAACGGTTTTCTGCTTTTATTTTTTTTAGTAGTTTGTGATCTGTTTTTTAACAAGATGTCTCAGATTTGCTGCCTTTACGGTTGCATAGCCGACATACACCTGTGTGCTTCTGTAGTAGAAAATAGACTCTTAGATTTCCCGACTTCTGCACAGGAGATTTGGTAAAAACCATCCATCGTCTCACACAGACACACACACACACACACACATACGACAGAGCCTATTCAGATGCCTGTGCTGTGTCCTCGGTCCAGTGCTAATAGAGCTGATCAAGCATCGACATTAAGTCTACAGTCTACTTCTATAGGCAACAAGGTCTTTTTTTAGTCTTTTTTTTATTATTTAAAGGCATGAAGCAGAGTTTCAATGCATAGCAGAATCATTTTCACCAGGAAAACTGACTTCCCTCAGAAGCAACATTCCTCAGCACTAACATGCAGGAGCATCTTTGTCTATTTTAAGGCAAAAAAAAAAGAAAAGAAAGAAGAGCCAACTGAGTCCTGCATCCATCCGTCCACTTCTCTGACCGCTTCCCTCCTCAGCGCTGTGTTATTGCTGCCATACAGGCACTACGTATCTGTCAGAGCGGGAAAGGGAAAGGAGCACTTCATAAAGCGCAGAAGCCGTTCTGGAGAGCATTAAGACTGTGGACAGCCTCCACTGGACGCTGCACACAGAGGAAGAGAGGGAGACCCCGTTTCATCCAGAGGCTGCCTGGGCAGACAGGGACACGTCACATGAGTGCAAAGAAGGATTTTGCTTCGAAAATGCTTTTTTTCAGACTATTTTCCGCCAAATGTTGCGTCGTGGGAAACAGAAGGCACACAAGGGGCCCCGGAAGATTTGATGAGCCGACGCTCCGACAAAAAATTCAAAGGTAGCGGGTTCCGCCTCTGTGGGCCAATGCAGTCGTTAAGGGGCGTGTCCAGAAACGGTGGACCCCGCCCCTCGCCAGGATTCCTGGAATCCTAATCGTATAGGTTGCCACAACGTACCGTCAGTGAACGCAGAGCCTGCTGTGCAAAGCCAGGAGAAAGAAAAGCTTAGCTACCAATCAAAGCTGCTACAGGTTAATAAGGCCTTTGTTCAATGTTAGGGGGAGAGGCTGTGGAGTAACGGGAGTAACGCAAGAGGCAGGAAAAGGACAAAAGAGGGGCGACATGTACATATCTACACAGCTGCTGAGTTTCTAAAAGTTGTGGAATGTAGCATTTTGCAGAGCACAGGAGCGGGCCCCTGCTCTCCACCCCTAAATGCTTGTCTGAGTCTGTGAGTGTCCTCCTCACCACGGGTCTCACTGGGTACCCTCATGAGGGTCGATGCTGGTGAGAGCTGCTCTGAAAGGGAGCGTCCGGCCGGTGGGGTCAGGAAGACAGCGGTGACAGTCGGACACAGACCTGAGAACTTTGCTCACTCTCCGGGTCGCTCTTCCATTTGATCTACTGTCGGTCTTGAATTCTTTTTGTCTGCATCTCTTCTTGAGATGCAGCGGGGCTTTGAATGAAATCGGAGAGACCTCTTTCAGTCAGGCCGGGGGTGTAGCACCCCCCCCCCCCCCGTTTCAGGCTCGCCTTTTGGGCCGGGACCAGCACCTGGACCGGGTCCTGGGTCCTCGTGGCAGGCCTCAGGCCTGGTGGGTTGGCGGGATAAGGCCAAGCTACGACTGGTTGTGAGCTAGAGGAGGAGCGTGGGAGCTGGGAGACTGGGACATATCTCTCCCGATGATCTCGTTTACTGCGGAGACAGAAATAAAAGAGGAAAAGCGATTAATCCCAGCTACACAGATAAAGCATCACATGTCTGCAGCAGCTGCTCTAAACTCAGTCTCTATTTAATGCCAGACAAAACCTGCTTTTGATAATCGTCCTTTAGACTTTAGAAATACCTCTCAGATGTCATTTCAGAAGAACGTGCATTCAACATTTCCACTCAGCAAAGGCAGAAGTTTTACAGCTCAGAGCAGACTAGAGGAAACTTTCAATAAGTCTCGTATGGTCTTATCACTGTGAAACAGAATAAATACACACATTTGTCTTTTATCAACACTCCTAAAGCTGCCGATAGGCTGCCATCTCCAGCAGAGGGCGCTGCCGCTCCACCCCGCTCCCTCACAGCAGCCGAATGTCAAACTGGCGCCGGAAAAAGCTCGAGTTGGAAAAACTAAAAGCCACTGGCGAACACAAAGGTCGCAGAGTTACTGCCATGACCTGAGATCTAATCAGCCCCGAAAGACCAAATGAGATAAACTATTCCGTTCACACACACCGCACCCGCTCTCACCTTTGACTGAGTCCAAAAGCACGGCTCAGACTAGGCTGAAACACGCCTGCGCGGCTGGCCGGGCAGCAAAAGACGGCCGTTACTTCATTACAGCTTTAATGGCGGCTCAGTACATTTCCCCGGGCCCCTTCATGGGGTGTGTGAGCTGTGTAAAACCGAGGCGTTGCTGAAAACATGCAGTCGGTCCCAGAGAGGCGCTCAGGTTAATTGCTCCAGCCTCTCCGTCAGAGCCCGACTCTAAATAAGTAAGAGAGAGGTTCCTGGGAGCTCTGCGGCCTGCGTGGTAGTTTTACATCTGCTGCCTCCGTCAGCGCTCACAGCAGAGCCACAAGAAACACGGCGGGAAGCTAGTTAAAAAGAAAATGGAAAAAAGAAACAAAAAAAAAAACAGCCGGCGTGATGTAAATCTCCATCCAATACTTTGATGGTGGGACAGACGTGAGGACAGGGTGTCAGAGGAGGCCGTTTGTTCAAAAGCGGTGGAAACATCTGTCTGGCTTCCACTGCCACGTCACCGGGGGCCCTCGGCCTTTTTTTCGCGCTGTGCCCTCTTCATGTGGTTTTTCCCAAGAGTTTTAAATGTGCTGATGAAAGGTCAGGTGCGCGCGGCGGGCAGAAGCCAGGCAGAGCAAACTGGTTTGGGGAGGGTGCAGCGCAGACCTCTGGCCCAGTTTGGCAGCGGGAGGTTTACGAGGCAGACCTGTCTGTGCACGACGCTCACACTGAGCCCCGCCGCTCTCCGTCCACTTGTGCAACCGTCCGGGGGAAGAGAAAAAAAAAAATCACACGTTCCCCAGGACAAAGGTTTTACTGTAATTCAGTTTGAAAAAAAAAAAAAAAGGTGTCAGCGTGACTCAGTCTATAGTGAGCAAACCAAGTCATCCAAGTCTGTTTCTAGAGAAAAACAAGTCATATTTAAATGAGGGCACGCAAAGGGAAAGAAAGATTCATTAAAATATAGTTTTTTTTCCAATGAACACTAATCTTGGCTTTCCCAGATTTCAGCGCTGAGACTGCAGATGTAATTCAGAGTACAATATTTGGTTTTCTGCTGCTTGCTTTTGTGTCTGGCCACCATCACTCACATCATCCTGTTAGCGTGGGAGGCTCTTCCTTTCCCATGTCAACCATGCTCTCACACACACACACACACACGCTGTCACCCTCGCAGAGCCACCACGCACTTCAGCAGCGTGACAGCCAACATTTACCTTTGCATGAGCAGTCTAAGGCAGTCTAAGGCCTAACACGCAGCCAGTGGGCCAGCCCGATCTGTCACGCCATTCCCTGTGTGAAATAAAACTGTGATGGAGGACGGCAGATCTCCTTTAAAGGCGCTGACCTTTCCAGAGACAAAGTGCTGCAGCTGGGCCCAAAATAAACAGCATCTTACAGCTGTTAAAAGAGCAGCCGAGCAGCTGTATGGATAGCACGCAGTAGAGAGAGAGCGGCGCCTTTTTTTTTTCTGCTTCCGAGCCATTTAGCAAAATCCCAATTACTCCTCTGAAGCTAACAGACCACGGGAGGAATCGCTGCAACCGACTTCATCTTAAAAAGTGGCATTGGCCCTTGCAGGCCTCTCAGAAGCCTCCTGCACAGCTCATGTGTGTGGTGAGCAGAATAAGCCGAGCTGGCTGACGGGACTCGTTCTGCTCTAATACCACAGGAATATGAGCGACTTTGTGTGAAGTGTGACAGACCGACATTAAGTGGGCGTCTGCAGAAACATATCACTTTCCGCTGTACTGATTAGACTGTTGCAGAGGCAAACATTAGCGTACGATAAATAACTCAGAGGAGGCAAACTGAGGGCAAATGGCATGAACTGAGCTGAAAACCTGCAACTCCATCAAAGAGTAATTCCTCTCAATCTGATTCACTCGGTTTTCTCATAAAAGAGAAAGGTCTCCCCGCACAATTCATCAGAAGTGTTTTTGTTTGGCTTCAGTCCCGAGATCACAGCCGTGTGAAATGTAAATTTGGATGATTCGATTTGGGGCAGTTAGAAAGGAGGCAAATTTCCATTTTTATCAGAAAGGGGACGCAAATTGGAAAGAAGGCGGCTGCCGTTTATCTCCTCTCTGTGTCATTTTCCCTGTTGGTGGATCGTCACCGGACAGGGTTCTGCAAAAGCGATTAAGTGTGGCCCAAAACCTCAAGAAAAAAGAAAGAAAGAGGTGAAAGGGTGCTCAGGATGAACTGTGTGAACCAATACTTTTAACTCAACTGCAAAAAGAAAAATCGCATTTCTTCACGTAAGACCGAGCATTCGATTCTGCCATTCAACAGAATATTCACCGCCGGAATTTTAGCTAGAGCTCCACCATCCAAAAGTGAAAGAGAGGTTTGAGTCGAGCGCAGCGTCTGACAAGTTTCAGGTGCTGATAGCGTTTTCTCAGGTTTACTGCTTTTGTTCGTGACTGTGCAACAGAAAACTGGTGATTCAGTGCTGCCTGTCGTAGTAGCTGTGCCTCTGAACGTCTCGGCCAGAGGGAGATCCTCTGGAGATGACTGTCAGGGGGGGCTCCCTAGCCGTGTATACATCTGGAGTCAGCCGACTAATACAAATACTACGACTACATATAGCGCAGGGCTTTCATCAGATGACTCCTGAGCTGAAGGCTGCTTTAACACTTTAACTGATTGAAATTGAGAGAGCCAGCGGAGTGTGTCATTAGTTCCTGAAAGAACCGTCTTTTCTCCACCGAAAAAGAGGCACGCATTTATCTGCACAATGCAAATCCTCTTCTTCAGCACCAAATATGTTAGCATATTTTCCCCAGCTGTAATGAATGCTGTCACAGGAAAGTGACATCTCCATGAGGAAGCCTAGTTACGGTCATTTACTGAATTAAGCCGCATGGCTGCCTGGTTGTTCATATCAAAGATAAGTGCTAGAGAGTTCATTCAGAATACAGCGATGATAGGGCGTTTAGGGCTTCTGAAATGTCCCTAAACCAATTTCCACATAGAGGATAGGACAAGCGTGATTAAATAATTCCACATCTTTTTTTTTTTTTTTAGTCAAGTCAAAGGAGGCACTGAAAGACTCCCATAAAGAGAAGCTAAAGTGAAATGGGCAGATGGACATTTAGCCCCATAAACATTTCAACTGGTGGAATGGAAAATGGGTAATTATCTTAACCCTCAATGACACATTGAAAAAACTGTTTCCTGACATTCTTAAGGGGAAAAAAATGCAGTGGCAGAGCGACTTAAACAAATAATTCGAAGATTGACTGATTCTTTGAAAAGCAAATGAAGACAACATGCCACAGTGGAAAAGGTTTGTGCAAAGAGAAGCAGGACTTGGTTCATCTGCAACAAGGAATATAAGAGCACACAGTTTCCACTTGCAGGGCCCTGTAATGACATGCGCACGTCTTTATAAAGCCTCGGGCTAGACAGCAAACGTGAAGCAAAACACCCGCACAGCCATTACGCACACAGGTTGGAAATAGATGGTCAGTTAATGGAAGTTTGGCCCTCTCCAAAGAGCCTGCTCCTTCACTCTTTTTATTTCTTTAAATGATCTCTGTGGCAGCCCTGCCATCCCACTATGCTTTACTTTAATTTCACTTCTGGAGTAAGTGAAAGAGTGGGTGAGTGCGCGGGGAGCAGCTGAAACGCTCGTTACAGAGTCAGTTTCTCAAAGTCACTCATCTCTGTGAATCATCTGTGGATGCCCCATTTGATGTGACGGTAAGTGATTCACAGGAATCACAGCCTTTGATCTGTGATAAGACGGTGGCTCCGCTTCAGCGGATGACCAGAGGCCCAAATCACAAGAGCTGAAAAACGTATGAGGAACTCAGGGAAGACCACAACAGTATCCAATAACACATCTGGCGGAAAGGACAAGAAAACCCTAAGGTTTCTCTTCCAGGAACAAGAAAGTCACAAAAACTGGAAAAACTCATCTTAAAGCAACTTGCTGTGCAGTAGATTTAGAGCTGAACCTATTTTTGGCCAGAATGAGTACAAATTTAAAGTAACATGCTGCAATAAATCACCTGAATAACAATAAAACCTCACACATTTACAAGAGGGAGTCACATCCACTTCACCAGCCCTTCAAGTTCTTGCTTGCACTCCATTAAAACTGTGAGACTGTTTGTATGCTTTTACTGGGAGGAGAAAAACATAAAAAAACAATGTGACAAACCTTGGCTCCACATAGAAGGCCACACTACTCCGTTTGCGTAGCAATGCTTAATGTGTTTGCAAACAAAAACACAGAGAAAGTGAATAAATCACCCATGCAGAGAGATTTCCAGGCTTCCCCTCTTTCTAAAGAAAATCCAGCAGCTGGCACCATCTGCTACACGGCTCTGCCTCTGCCAAGACCTCAGCATTGCACTCTGAGACGGTAATTGTGGGGAAAGATGACACACACAGTCCGTTTCCATTTGTTAAGGGGGAAAAGAACAGCAAAGGTTTACCGTTGTTTTCATCTCATTTGTTGGAAACTGACTTTCCTTCCGCCGTTGTTACCGCTGCTGTGCCTGGTCTGCAGGAGGCCTCGTGCACGCACCTTAACAGGGCACTAATCTCCTTCATGACCAATAATCTCAGATAAAAGAACTACAATAGCATCACTCGTTCTCAACAGATCACACGGGTAAACAGGTTAAGCATTCTCTGTCTGAGAGCTCGGCGTTACCTTTTTAGACCTATCTGAAGACAGACCTGAGTCAAGGTCATTTCCAAATGCAGACTATTTCAGGTCAGTTTGATGTGAAATACAGTCAGACAGATTTCCTACCACCTGCAAAAGGTGCCTCCAACACTTAACTGCTTTTTCTTTCTCAGGCATGGACAGCTGCACAATAATTTTGGATTGTTCTCTTCCTTTATTTATCAGTCGGCTCTCATATATCTAATATCAAGTGTTCTTTTTAAAATGTTGCTTCACTGATCTTTCTATTCAGATAATGCAGTGTGCACATACACAGCTTTCTTGAGCAACAAAGATGGAGCTTAAAAAAGTTTTAGGTCGGAACTGTGGTGCAAGGGTTTTTCTTAAGCTACAGTTAATCGAAGATTCCATCTTTGTTCCGCCTCACGTAAAAAAAAGAAAATGAGAAGGATTGTCAGATTTGTTTAGCACCATTCAGAGACTTATTGACCAACACTGAACTGCCCACTACTTAATTACCTACCTACTAGTCTGGTCCATTATTAAGAAATGACTAAACATCAACAGAGCAGAAGCTATTTTTTAAAGGGAAGTACTGCTCACTACTGTAGTGAAAGAGCTTTTGTCAAATTTTTTAACATTTATTTGCAAATAAGTCTTGTTTGTTATTCAAGTCTGATTTCTGCTGAACAGCCTGTCTTCATTTAGTCCTGATAAAATAAATGTAGCTTCTTTTTCAGCCACAAACAAGATCTCATATTGGACCCCTTGGCTCAGTGACCCTGCAGCGGGTTTGGAGCGTGGACTTGTCTGTCCATCTGTCTGTCAGTCTGTCTTCTCACCTCCTGTGTCTTCTGCACAGCACACACACACGCACGCACGCACAATACTCCACAACATCAAATAGATCTACACAAACACAATACACCCCTTCTCCCTCTCTCTCCCAAACACACGCACTACGACACACATCTCAAGCATGTGCTGGTGTGCGTCACAGGGGCCATCTGCCTGCTAACCAGAGCAGTTTCTCCACACACAGTACCCACCATACCTCTGACACAAGTCTGTAAAACTACTGCTGCATGTTATTTCCAACTCTCCTCTCCATGAAAAATGTCAAGGCAGATTTTATGAAAGGTTTTTTGAAAATGTCAGTAAAAATGTTTTTGTATCTTTTGTTTTTTTTGTGGAAAGAGGTCAATTGAAGGTTTACAGAGCGTGAGCTGATCCCGAATCGCACTAATGGAGGTTGATAGCAGTTTTACTGAACAATACATCAGAGCAGTTGCAGTGATCTTGCGGACGGTCACAATGTTCTAATATATTTATTTAGGATGTTAAATGGAAATTAGTGCTGAGAAGCAGAGGAATACATTGTGAAACCCTGACCTCCTTCATTCTATAATAATTTAGCTGTTCTTATAGTATCTACAGTTAAGGGAGGCCAGAGTGGGTTGAGTGTGATCTACTTAAGAGTGTGTGCTGCGACCTCCTAAAACTCAGGGCTGCGTGAAGCTTCCTGTTGCTACGTTAAAACATGGCCTACAGAGCTGGGCTGGCACAGAAAGTTATTTTTAACCAGCAGCTCGAGGGGGAGATCTTACATTCCCAGCTGAACTGTGTCACAAACTTTTCTCACAGTGTTCTGGAGAGCACGCCACTGCTTTCACAGTGGCTGCATCTCTATGCTCGTACGAGACGGAATTACATTTGAATCACCCTTTCTGTGTGAGAAACTTCTGCTTCAACAGATCCCCTGCGCGCAAATGAATGAGGACCGAAAAGTGAGATGATAGGCACGTGATAGTAAATGTTCTGCACTGATGAACAGCAGTGAATGTCGGTCCTGCATGCATGATTTATTGACAGATTGCTCTGTGTTAATTAGGCTGACCACTGCTAACACTCAACATGTCCCCTCACTTACATGGCCTCAGCAGGCTAATTATTAACCCTAAAGCTTCAGAACCCTCATCTGAATATGCCAATGAGGTGAAGAAAGCCAGCTACGGCTCTGAATGTTAGATAAGAGGTAGACTATTTTGAGCAGGTTGAATAAACATCCTTCAGGTCACAAAAATTCAATGAATAAGGAAAAAAAGCTGCTAAATGTACGCAAAAGCTTTGTGGTCAATTGTTCAGTTAACACGTTCTGCTGAGCATCTTAATTAGGCTCTTTTTAACATGGTCAGGTAAACACGAGCACACACAGCTTGTAATTACTGAAGCATGTTGGCTAGAGTGTACAAAATGGTGCTGCCCTCTCCTTCCAGGGAACCCACAAAATTTAAAAGTGTAATCAATCTTCAAACTGATCTCTGAAATACAGAGGTTTAGCAGTCCTCAATTAGGCCAATTTAATGCGATACCACACTTATCAGTCCTATTGTCTGTATGACACCCAATACCAAGTCACAGGACACCTCAGCCATAAGCCTGCCAACACGCCAGTGTCCCGCTCCGACTGATGAAACACTATCATTGCTATCAGACATCGAGGTTTCAGCCCCCTGAAAAACTAACAACTGGTGCTTGGTGTTGTTTTACACGAGATACAAATTCATCTTGTGCATCACATTTTGTTGAGAAAATTAAATCCCACAGCAGTCCCTTGTTTTGGACAGAAAATGAGACGGATCGCAGATGGTTATGCTCTAAATAACTTTTAAAAAAATCTTCAGAGTGAGGGATGAGATGTGATAATGAGAAAAGAGTGAACTGAGATACAAGACTTAAGTGTTTGTGTCAGACATATACAAACACGTTTCATTGTGAGTAAAACAAAAAAACAAAGAGACAAAGGGAAACAAAGCAAAACAGGTGGATGTCTACTCAGTGTGACAGGTCAGCCGGTCATAAAATCCTAATATTTGCATTTCTTTTTGAGTACTTCCAATGAAAGCAGAGAAGGAATATAATGCTGAAATGATCTTTCTTCTTTTAAATCTTCTTTTTAAGTATTTCTGTGAATTAAAGGTGCCAGACAGACACTGACTTTTGGCAAATATATTCCATATATAAATATACATTGATATGAATATCTTACCATCATCCAGCGTAATGTCTTGCAGCCCGATGGAGCGGAAGGTGGGCTCACGGTCCTCTGGCTCCTGTTTAATGTTCAGCCTTTCCCCATCTGAGGGGAAGGGACCCTGAGGACTTATAGGATGAGCCAGCGGTCCCACTGCTCCCGGGGACAGGCTGGTCATGACAGGGCTTGTGGCCTGAGGAGAAGGCTGTCCTGAATGCTGCTGCAGGGCCCCCAAAGGGCTGCCACCTGAGGTGGGGGAGGATGAGGTGGGGGATTGGTAGGGCAGCGAGTGGAGCTGAGGAGAAGAAGGCCCAGAGTGGGGAGAAGGGATCATATGTGGCGGAGGGGCAGTGCATGGTGTGGGACAGGAAGCTGACCTTTGACCTGCTGGGTGGTAGCCCATAGCTCTCTGCAGCGGTGAAGAGTGCTGCCCACTGAGGGAGTGCGGACCTGGAGAGGGCACCTGGCTGGGATTTGGTGGGCAGTGATAGCCTCCAAGGGAGTGGAGGTGAGGGGATGAGGGGCTGAGCAGGGGTTGCTGACTCTGGGGGGAGCCAACAATGGGGTTGGTAGTTGAAGGGGATGGAGCTGATGGTGAGGAGCATGGGGAGGATGGGTATACCATTCCCATGCTCATGGGGTGTGATGCTGAATTTGGGCTCTGCTGAAAGGGCATCCTCTCATAGCTCTGAGGAGGAAGGCTGGGCTGGCCGTTGAAGGACAGGTTATGGCTCTGGCTGTGTTGCAAAGGCTGATAGGAGGGCCGGGGAGGAGCGGGAGCAGAGCTCTGGTGGAACGTCATGTGGCAGTCTGCGGGTGGGTGGTGCAAACTGCGACCCTGGAGGTGGGACAGGTGCTGGAAAGACGGGGAGCCCAGGGAGGGGCAGGGACCCGGCAGAGGTAGCAGGCCAGGACCTGAGCCGGCGGCGAGGCCATGAGGGGAGCTGGACAGAAGGCTGTCCGATGGGTGGCCCTGTTCAGGAGAAGGCAGCTGAGAGCGCACCAGACTGGCAGCATGTGCCAGGGGTATAGAAATGGGCGGTACAGCAGGAAGGTCCAGTTCATCTCTGTGCTCCTGTTTAACCAAGACTGCAGAGAGAGGAAGGTAGAGAACATGAAATTACAGAAGATGGGTTGACAGACCAAAAGCAAACTAATATAATATTATATGCATAATATTAACTGATTAAAATCCAACTTTTTCTATAGCGGGTCACAACCTGACTCCACCCCTGTCGGCATGCCTTTCCACAGCAGAAAGTGTTTCCTTAATTTGGAATCAGCTGCTTATCACTGCAGTACAGTGAGATGCTGTAGTGGCACAGGGGCGGTACACAAATCTTCTGTGTATGAACACTGCACCGTGAGTGTGTGACCTGCTTTTGGGTTTGACATCTCTCAGCATGAACTCGAGAGCTTTCCGGTACAAAGCTCACCTCTGGCTAGCAGAGGGATGAAAATAAGTCAAACAGAGAGAATTTCAGACTACGTGTTGATAATTCTGTGCAGAGATGTCTTATCTATGTCTTACGTTAGCAGTCCGGCAAAAATATCTGCATATGGATATTCAGACTACTTTGCTCAGAAGACAGAGAACTGTCTTAGCCTTTGTGGGACTTCAGAACCTTTGCTGAGATGCTGGCGTTACCCCGAAAACAAAGATAACCCCAGTTATTTTGGTTTGGAATACAAAAACTAAGAGTCTCTTTGTAAAGAAAAGAAAAGGAAGAAACCAATTTGTTTTTCCAGATACTTAATGCAGCCAGCTGTCCAACACAGCAGCGGATATACTTGTCTGTGAAATAGGTCTTCTTTTAGCCTCCCAAAAAACAGAGAAGCATTTTCATGGTAAATGGGGCCATTCCCTTTTAGTGTGACAGCTTAGAGCTCTGCTATGCCAATCGGTAACCTATTTCCCAATCTGGTGCCTTGTGACAGTGAGCTTTATTTTTATCCAACTCTGAATCAGAGGGAGAGCATATGCTATCAGTCTGGTTGCCATCATGTGAAGTGTGTGGGAAAAGGAGCTGAATGCCCAGCAGCCCAGATCACACCGAAAGAACAAACAAGTTCACCGACTGTGCCCCACAATCACCCTGCCTCATCTATGGGACTGCAGGGCAAAAGGCACAGAAAGGTTAAACGGGGTTTTATTCTGGAAAATGGAGCCGTGGGACATAAGGCCAAGAGAAGGGTGAATGTGCTTTGTATATAAACATGACTGTTCATAATTGAAATCAATGGAGTGAGTAAAAAACAAAAAAACAGAAACAAAAGCCCTTTTGATAACAAGTTTTAGTTATAAATAAAAGTTTTTCCACCCACAATTCATGTTCAAATTAGGCCAGGACCCAATGATGAAACACGAAACACTACTGATTGGCTGACTTTCTTTTTTTGCCACAATAAAGCAGGCGGTGTCCGTGGTGACTGTAGTGGTGTCAGCGACCCAGCCTGACTGACAGAGCAGCGTCATTCTAGGCTCTTTTCATTGGCTGCCGTTATCTGTCAGTGGGGAAAACAGGAACTGCGTTTGCCGAGTGGGCGTGCTTGCAAACTGAAAGGCTGGGTGGGTGGATGGGCAAGACTGCTTGTGCGCATAAACACATGCAACATACACGCTGTTGCGGTGAAACTCAGGGTTTGGATGTGTTGCACAAAATGCTCACATGTGATTATATTCCGTCGCTTGTGCTTTCAGTTTGACTGGCTTTCAGAGGGAAAAAAAAAAACAATAATAATATCAAATAACGGCATCAAACAGACGTCAATGAAAAAATTACGGAAACTAAATAAAAAGCAAAAGGCTGAGTTTAGTTTCCTTGATGATCAAAATTATTAAAACAGACCTAAGCTCACTGTTTGCGTGCAGTACAATTTTTAACGATTTTTAAAAATAAAACCCATGTAAATGACGTAAGTACTAATTAAAAATAAAATAAAAGATTGAACTGAGAGTTTGGCAGGTGTGAGTGCCTTTATTAGTGGAGTGGTTCCTCTTTAACACACAGCAACGCTTTCTTTGGAGGAAGAAAGAGAGAAACGAGGCGAGCAAAGTTCCTGTGGAGAATTGTGCAACCCGATGAACACACCATCTCTGCTCAGTCTTAACGCTTTAAGACTAACAAGGGGAGTTCACATCAACATAAATAGAAAAATATATAGAAAAGTCTTTACCCACCTGAAATGTATGTAAAGCGTTGTGATTGGCTCCTTTTTCGTTTGCCATTGCAGACATAAAACTGCACCTGCACGGCTGAGCTCACAGTCTTGCTGTGATAAGGGGGGACCTCCACCACGATGCAAGACTACAAAAATAATTAAAAACACTTACTTAGGCTTTATGCCGCGGAATTTATTATCCTGTACATACATCAACATACAAATGTTACCTAAAAGCAAAAAAAGAAAAGAAAGCAGCATAATTACACTAATATCCAATTACTTACACCCTGAGTCTTCTCACGGATTATTTTTGCCTCAACTTCCCACTGTGGTCGTCCATCTGGAGGAAAAAAGATACAGGAAAGAGAAATTAATAATCATCTTTTATGGAAAATTACAAGGAAATGTGACAAAGCAAAGTTTTAAAACCAGTTGAATCCACACAATTTTATGTAAGTAACACATCCAGTCAACAGACGATCCCTTTTGAGCACTTCAATTTAATTCTAGACACTTTATAAATATGGTGTAATATTATTTTCCCTGTCTGGAAAGGCCCTTTTCACTCTTTTTTGTTTTCTTAAATGTGATGTCAGTGTGCAGCGCTGGCTAAAACAGACAGGGTTTGTGAACCATCTGAGACTTCAAATGGAGAATCAAGATGCTTTCCCCATACAGAAAATCTCAACAGTTATTAAACAGTGATCAAATGTCCAAATATCCTGCTGTTTGCCTTGCCTGGTTAACATTAAGTCAAGCATTTATTTTAAAAAATGCCTTAGAAAAAAATGTTTTCCTACGTGGGAGCTAATTATTTGACCAGACATCTTAAAAGGCAGCTGCATGAAGGCAGACGGCTGGGGTGAGGACAGTCAGGCTTCCAGTCTGGTTGGAAGAAGTCACAGCAATTGCGGCGTTTCCACAGCTAAACTCTTGAGAAGCCTTGAAGTCGGAGAAAATAAACTTGCAGCTGCCTTTTTCATGGTGCAAGTCTCCTCTGCACCTGCATGGCCTCTTCCACAAAAAAACAAAGGATTCCCCCAAATACCACTGCCAGACATCTGCAGCATGTCTGCAAACAGGCCTACCCTACATGAAGATTCAACCGCTTGATAAAGGTGTTCTCAGCAGAACACCTACCATAGCTGTAGTAATCCAGTAGAACAGGACAAATAAATTTCCTCTTTTGTGTAGAAAGAGCTTATATCTTGTTAGTGGCAGCTTTTTTTTCCGTTTTCCTTCCACTGAGCAATGACCTTGACAGCTGACAGCAGTGTATTATTGCGGTGCAGATTGTTGACATTCAACAGGCAGGAGCAAGGGCCCCACATGCTCTGTCAGACAACAAGCACCGACAGGAACCTCATACCATTCTAAATACTAGAACTCACAATGTGGAGCCACCCTGCATGCACCACATTGTGCTGGAAAAATCAAACAAAATGCACAGAAGTGAGGGATTGAATTGCTTGTCAAAAGGCATAAATAGGTAGCTTTAAAGAGACAAGCCCAGGTTGACCTTGCTGTATTAGTCCATGCTCAAGGTAGTCAGCGTCACAGACTTTAAAATTGACCCCTTTGTGTAAGCATCCATGCTTGTAAAACCAAAGGCTTTATACCAACTATGGACTTATTCCAGTTGCAGTGTTAAATGCTTCTTTTTAAGTTGTGTTATTATGTTTATATTAAATTACACAGCCCTTGTGCTTCCCTTTCATTAATAACTACTTTATAACTGTTACAACTAGCAGAGAATTAAATAAACTCATCCATTAACAGAGACAACTAGCTTTTTATGATTAAAAAAAAAAAAAAAAACACAAGAGTAAAGACAACAGACTTTACAACATTCTCTGAGCAGGTTTTCAGCATTCTTGTGTAATAAGAACCGGTTGCAAAAACTGTACCGACAGTGGAGTTCAAGTGATTTAAATAATCAAGCATAAAGGATATACTAAACGTAGACCAAGACATACCAAATCTTTCCAATTTCTCTCATTTTTAGAGCTTTTAACAGTCAGCCAGCAGTAAGCCAGTCCCTCCCGCTCTTAGTGAATCTGTTGTGTTCTTTCCATAAAGGAAAATTGTGGAAGAATATCTGTCACTGCCTTCATGTTTTTCTGATACTCTTTTCTTCCACTTCTATGTTTACCCCAATCAGTGTATTTCTTCCATAAAGGAGAAGGCTTAGTTATGATGAATGGGATTATTCTGCAGGATTCCAATTGACATCTTGTTCCCCTTCACTTTAATATGTAGCCTGTCTCTTTCCACAGTCTGATGCCATCACGAGCTATGGAGCCCAGCTTTTCGCTGGGTTACGCCTCTCAGAAGGTTTCCATTTGCTACTTTTCTCTGCCATGCTTCACCACCTGTCCCTAAAATGACTTTAACACATTCCTCTTTGCATATTTTTTTCTAAAGTACATTTAAAGTAATGCCCATGCTCACAAAGACATAAACCTCTCGACTTTCTTCCATGTGTGAACTTGAATGTGTTGCTCTCCATCACAAAGGTACATGGGGCAGGTAGAGACTGGTTCAACAAATGTCATCCTTGTAAAATTTCCATCCAGCTATTAGTTGTGCTTTATTATAGAGTGGTGTGCAACAGAGAGGAAAGAAATGATGAGGCAAAGAAAAACCCAGAGAAGCAAGTTAAATACCACAGGAGCTTTAAGTAAATCTTCAGCCTACAGGAGTAGATGTTAACAGATTTCTGGAACTTTCATAGTCAACAACCCCCTCTAAATGTCTTCACCTGTGGAAGAAGTGAGCAGCAAATGCAAGGTGGAGATCCAGTACTTATTCAAAACTGTTACACTGCCCCAGTTTTTTTCTGACAAAGCTGATGGAAAGAAAAAAAAAACATTTAACATAGTTTTTTCCCTTTTGTCTTTTTATGTGAATTATTGCAACAGTGAGCATTCTTTTTATAAAGAAAATATTCATGAATTCTATCCAGGGTCTGGAAAGGCTGATGCCTACCGCAGAGGCCAAAGGGACAGACTGGCGTGCGCAAATACACATGGTCATCTCAGAATAGCTATTAACCGAACACACGTGTTGTTAGACTGCGGGAGGAAACAGGAGCACCCGCAGAAAACACATGCAGGCGCAGTGAGAACATATAAACACAGAAAAGTCCTGGAGGCTCTTGTGATGATGCCAGCCATGCACTACTTCGCATAAAAACTCACTCACTCACTCTGTGTTGAAAAATACCTTCAGGCAAAGAATGTAAAGATAAAAGAACTTGTATATTCTAAAACTAGAAGGTTTTTTTATCTTCTTTTTTTTATGTAATTATTTTTCAAAGATACTCATCATTTAATTCTCTGGTGACTTTTCATTGCAACACCACACACACCAGTTTCACCACTAGTGAAATTATTTTTTTTAGGGGTCTGGATTTTGAGGAGGACACACAAAGAAATTCCCAGATAGATCATTTCACCACAGCAAGTTAAATGTCTGTCACCTGTATATGATCTTAGACACACTTTTTTTTTTTTACCAGTGCAAAGTTAAATCACAAGTCTTACCAGGGCCTTTCTCCAGGAAGATGACCTTGGACTCTGGGAAGAAGTTGGACCCAGTGATGACCATCTCATCCCCCCCACTGACCAAACAGCTGCTCAGACTGGACTTCTCAACCTGTGGCAGTTCTTGAGCAGAACGCTGGGCTGATGGAGGCAAAGGAACAAGTGCAAAGTAGACTGTAACATAAGGGATTGCAACTCAACATGTCAGTGGAACTGAGAATATCTTAAACATTCACCTTTCTTATCAAATGTTACTTTAAAAAAGGACAGAGTTTTGCATGTCTAAAACAATCCAGCAGCATCCTGTATCTCATACGTAGAATTTTCATAGACACTTTCCTGTTGTGAGTCTCAGGAAAAAATAAAAAAAGACACTCACAACACTCCACAGGAATGGAGGAGGCCTGCAGCGACAGCACCTTCCCATTGGCTTGGGGGATGTGCACCCGGAAAACCACACGGACCCGCGTGTTCTTTCTTCCTATATCCGTCTCCCCTTTCCGCAGCTCAATGTCTGAGTTCCGTAGCTTTAGTATGCCAGCACAGTCGATACTGCAAGGTAAAGGGAAAACAGTTGGCCCTGAGCAGCACCACTTGGATGGTAGGCATCTGAGACACATTTGGGCAGTAAATGCCCAGGAGTGATAAAACAACCCACAAGCCCGGCAGGAGATTGGCAAAGACAGCCAGTTCTCCAAGTGTGGAATCATAAGCTAAAATGCCTGTTAATATGATTTATTACAGCTATCAAGTGAGGAAATTCCTACCAAATTCCTTTTTTGTGAATTCCAGTGTAAATGAAACCAGATCCTATACAAATACAACTATTTGGGTGTTTCTGTTCACGAAACCATCATTAAAACTGGTTTCCTATGTTCTATGGGAAACCCTCATACTTTCCTTCTGTACTTAATCTGACTATTTGTTTAAATAAAGGAAATCTTTAAAATTGCCCTTTGGAAGCCATTACATGCAAGTATAATATAAACTTGGTTGCTTTTTCTTGGATAGCACCTCAGTCATGGTGGTAAGCTCATAATGTTTTCCTGAATAAGGTAACCCTATAAGTGTTTCTGACATATACCTGGCAGACATGTTGTTTTCAGGAAGGAGCGGAATTTCGAGAACTTTGGTGCTGGAGATCAGAATTTCTTGGCTAGCGGTGGCTACAGTTTTCCCGGTGATTCGATGCACCTGGTAGAAGGCGTGCGGCCTCAAGTAGCGGTCATCTGCTGTTCCAATGAACATCTGCAGGTTGACAGGCTTCTCACTGTAGCCAATGAGCTGAGGGAAGACACACAGAGACAGAACAACACAACAGGAACAGATGTGAGTCCTTGGGTCCAAGATGAGAGGTGCAAACAAAAGAATACCCTTTTCATTTCCACTGGATTTGAAGAGCTGCCTTATTTGGAGGGAATGCAAATGGCAGGTTCAGGGTGTTTCAGGGCATTTATTGGAAATGCATTTAGTGCTTGGGACGACCATCTTAATATTGGCGTTAGGCTTCCAATTTTCCCCAAAAACTGCCCAGATGAAGGTAATATCCTGTCCATTAATAAGAATGAAGAAGTCCAAAAGGCAAAGTTTAAAATGCACACAAAACTTTCTCTCTGAGAAACGATGAAGTCACATTTTTGGTGTGTTTTACAAAAGAGGGTAAAAATTGATCACATAAACTGAATTATGTTATTCGTTTTTTCACTTCTAATAGTTAATGGGTGCCACAATGGTTGGCAATGAGCAAGCAGTTGCCTTTATCCTCTCCAGCTGTCTTTCAGGGCTGGCGGCCTGGTATCCAACCAGACAGGAGAATATTTAGTACAGAAAAGCTTTTGTATATCGGGCAAGGACAAGGGAAAGATGGAGAGGAGAGCAGGACCTTTCCTTAACAGCGGAACAGGACAAACACACAGACTGCACAATCCCACCACTGTTGTAATGTTGTGTTTGGCAGACCCCGTGACGGCAGGATGGCATCAGCCCTCACACGCGCGCTCCCAACACCCTGCTCTCAAGCAACCGCACCTCCAGCCCGAATGGAGGGCAGCCTGCTGAGGCCAACAGAGAATCACAAGGCCTTTCATTGCCGTGTCTCCCCCTCCCCCCGGAACTGCCAAACCTCAACCCCACCATAGCTGGCCACTACCGACCCCTTTCTCCTCCCAAGTATGCGTCATCCACCCCTGTGTCAGAGTCTGGTACAAAATGTTAGGAAAAGAAAAGACAGAAAGGCAGTGTGGCTTGGTATTTGTCGTATGTTATTTTAAAACACAAATATCTCCATTTACTGGTAGTTTATGCAAATTTTATGCTTTCTTTTTGCGTGTTCCCCCTTTATACTTTCATTTGTTGCTTCTAAGACGGTCCCCTGTGGCGAAAAATATTGAGCTATGGGGGTGCCTAAGCTGAACCAAGACATGGAAAAGCTGAAATATGTTGTGTTTACAGCGAGCTATGCTTGAGGACGAGCCTCTAGAGGCAGATACTAGCCAGGCTCTTAATAATGATTCACTGTTCTGAGCGCAATAAAAACCCTAGTATTAACTAAGACTTTTGCAACTGAACTCCCTAAAGACCCACTGGTGTTCCAGAGAAACTAAATTTGAAATAATGCACAAAAAACATATCTGGAAAATTACCTAAATTCAACCATTTAGTGGAACTTAAAAACAAGAGACATTTTGAATTGTAGTTATATACATGTTTCAGGCCAACCTCTCGGAATCTGATCTAAAGCCTTGTTAGATCTTTTTTCTTTAACTGTCAGTGTCGCACACTCATAAAGCAGAGGGTAACACACAAGCTTGCACTACAAAAGGCAAATCACAGCTGGCACGCAAATACAGCATCAGACACTCACAGTTCTAATAAAAGCCTTACAGACTGTGAAAGTGTCTGACAGACAAGCCACTGTCACATGACTTTTTTGCTACCAACTGAGTTCAGACAGGATCTCAAACTGTTTCACTAGAGACATCTAAAGAAAAAACTTATGTATTATTTGTAATATTTGCGTGTATGCATATACAATCTGGCTATGCAATAAGTGCAATTGTGATTCAAACATTAACAAAAACTGTCACTGATTATTATCTACATAATTTAGCCTTATTATACTTTATGTGTTTTCATATAAAAGTCTGAAACAGTAAGTAAGGATGGCTGAAGGAGGAGTCCACACTTCAGAATTGCTGCACGTTTCTGGCTGCACCATTAGACAACGCAAACTTCTTTTTAACCATCTAAGATGCAATCACCCATTCACTTACAACCAACTGATGATGACAAACCCCTATCAGCCAACACTGCAACACACTGATGGTCAACAATAAGAGACCCTCACTATAGTACAACACCTTGTTCCACTACCTCAGAAAGGCTCAAGACAATCATAAAAGTCATGGCTCCTTGTTTGACCAAAAACATAAACACAGACAGAGCTGTGGAGAAACCAGGCTTCAGACATCTGGTGTGTACTTGGGCGAGCGCTACGCAATACCATCACGCCATTATTTCACAGAGTGGCTGTGCCAAAGATGCTAGACCAATGTTGTTAAGAAGTGGTTAAAAGTAGACCAAAGGAGACTATTTCACCAAAAGAACTTGTGATACAGCCGAACTATGGAGTCTTACATCATTTTAACGATGCATTACCCTGCCTTAGGACTAAAGGATTCTCTGGCGTCATGGAATTTAAATGAGGAAAAAAGTAACTAAAAGTATTATTAATAATACAATACTGGTATTGTATCATTATTACTGGTATTTATTTATTATGTGTTTTATGTTTACAATAATTTATGCTGTCTCTTCTATACATAATTGTTATCACTTGTGTTACTTATTTCATACTGTTAGAGTCATTTGAGTATTAACCTATTTAGTTATCTTAACTTAAAGCTCAATAAGAAGTTTCCAAAGAAAATTTCACATTCGCTGCAATAAATCCAGTAATCACGTGGTCAATGAGCAATCAAGTAAATAATCCGGATTTCAATAATGACAATAACAATCAGGATTTTGATTGCAGCCATAATACACAATCCCTGGCAGAAGCAGAAAGAGGCCTACACTTAGCTTATAAGTTGATTTTTCAGTAAACTCCTGTTAAGGTGGGAAAAGACTTTGGGAAAACTGTCCTTAAAATGAGTCAAATACTGTATGTTAAAAGCTTATTTATACTGAACGTTTATAAAGGAAGTCTCTGGTGATAGTCAAGTAGACCTCTGATGGAAAAGGTTAATTTGATTTGCAAAGTGTCATTTGGACAATGTATTCTCCCCAAGGCTTATCCTGGCTTTTTAAAGCTAAAACTCAAAGTATGCTGACACTCCCTCGCCACATTGCATTGCTTGTGTTTGAAACTAACTGCGTGATTGATAAATTAAGAGTAGTTGACAAATCAGTTAGAAAAAACAAAAGCACTCAGAAGGGACAAATATTTGAAAAGTTGGAATTGAAGTATTGTTTATTGTATGTGATAAACTGGGATCAACCTACACAGGGATGAACCACAATATCAGGAACATGAATGTTTTAGGAAGGAAGTCGCTCTATATTTAAAAAACAAAAAAAGAAGTGAACGAGGCCCTATAATGAGCCATAATGGGATCATCTTTTAGAACCGCATTAGATCTTAAGAGCCACATGAAAGCGTAAATCTTGCCAGTAACAACCTAACAGGTAATTAGGCACTCGGTCTAACCGATTTTCTCCGGATTCAAAGTTACAAGAAGGAACAGCCTAGCAGCTTGTTTTATGATAATTTCTGCACCGTGTGGGAATCAGCACACACGGTGCTTGCACATGTGCATGTGTTTGTATGACTGCATGTCTTTACCCCTCATTTTGTGTGTGCGTGAGTGCCTATAAATCAGACCATGTTTATTCCCAGCACCATGTGTGTTCCAGACAGGATGAAAAGAGTTAACGGTGTCTGGAGGAATGTATCTGCAAGAGAAGACAAGAGGGATGGAGGAAAAAATGAAAAGGCTTCAGGAGAACAGCACAAAAATAAAAGACGGAAAGAAAAGGCTAGAGTTTATTATTAAAAGCGTAAAATTGAACACTTTTGCTCTCAAATCTTATCGACACTAGTTTGTGGCATAACATGTCTATTTAGAGGATTTATTAATCGATTGTCAGTTTTACATTTCTAACTGAATCCAAATTGGAAGCACCGCTGCTTAAAATAAAAACCTCAAGACCTTCCCAAATAGTAGACTTCACATTGGGGAACCCATTTGCACCTTCAGAAAAGAAAACGGGTAACGTGCCACCTGCAAACAGCAGGACATGTAAACAAGCACACAGGCATTGTACCACGGTCCTGGCACTGGAAGCTTTCTCTATGCGAGTGCACATGACCACACACCCCTTGAGTGGTTCCACATTCCTGAGTCACCCCTCCGCCGCCTCCTAAATCTAAGGTTGGGTGTGAAATACCTCAGGAGGGTGGTCAATGCGCTTTCATCTCCACCTGCCTGCCTGTTCAAAAAGAGCTGATCCCAACTGGTCAGCCAGCAAGTCAATCCTGATAGAAATCAGTTCTTATATTACAACATGGTGACATTAAAAAAAAAAAAGCGTCACATGACCCAAGGCCTATGTTCGCTAAAGCACGTAACTAAGTTCTGACTTCCAGCACCTGACTGTGGATCGAGTTTAGGATAAACCCGTTCCCTTAAAATAAAACTGCTGGATACAGTTACATACTGCGCTTCCACTAAATAAAGTCCCTACTTATTTTTGGCCTTCATCTGTTCCACTGAGCCTGTAATAAGGCACGCAAGCTGAGAGGAAAAAACATCTTCCAGCATTTTATCCATATATAAAAAGGCACACGGGATATACGTAGCAAACATCTTAGGTTTTATGTCAAATACAAAACTACTGGCATTGTTTTAATGGTAAAAAATATGATATAATAAGGCAACAAATTTATGAAGCTGAGAGGCAGAACATCACCTGCTCTCTACAGCATCTGTTTACACCCTTCACTTCATTGAATTTAAGGTTAAATTTCTTTTTAACATCCTCCAAACAAAACCTCTAATTTTCATTCCTTCTGCTTCCGTTTTCCTTTTGTCATTCTCCCCTCTCTGTGCCTGTCCTTTCCTCTCACCTACCTCAGCTCCAGCCCGATGCCGTAACCTGACACTTTCTCACAGCGAGCGCCTGACTCTGCTAAGTTGTTTCCCTGTGTTGCTCCACTGTTGCTATGGTGAGCCTCCCTGTGTGTATGCTGGAGTGTGTGTTTGTGTGTGTGTATACGAGTGAGC